TTTTTTGACGCAAATGCATTGTAGGCTTATTCTACAGAGCAAGGGCTACATTTTGGTACCATTGACAGCGCTGTACGATTGGAAAAAAAATGTATATTAAAAACGCACCGTTTCATATGGGTAGATAGTCTGCCACAATTTCAGGGATAAGAAGAAGCAGCCGACGAAGGTTACTAATGGCATCGGAACGATCATCAGACACAGCGACACCGTCTCCATTACAACCTTCTTCACCGGCTGGCCGACAACGGGAACGTTGCCCATCTGAAGAACCCCCCGATTTGAGGGATTGTACAGGGTGTCCCAACACAGGTCAGTGCATCCACCCGAAATCCACTCGGAATCCCGGAAGGGATCGAGGCGGAATTCCACTAGCGGACGCGAGTGGATTCCACATGGAAATCGAGTGGATTCCGGGTGGAACGTATGGATCTCGGGTGGAAACCAAGTGGATCCACTCGGTTTCCACTCGATTTCCATTTGCCGCGACGCGTGGGGCCCGCGTTGCGTCGTGTTTCCACCCGATTTCCACCCGATTTCCATGCGTTTCACCCGAATTCCAGGTGGAATCCACACGGAATTTGGGCGGATGCACGGACCTGTGAAAACGACCTCCTCTAGCGGTCGGCAGTGATGTCCGATTTTGACGATTTAGGTATCTATCGAAAGCTCTCGATGAGCTGAGCAGATCTATTCTCTCAGATTTGTGAAATTTCCTAAATTTTTACCCGATTGTCATCGTTTTTGGGCATAAATTACGCATTTTTGGACAAAAACTCAATGTAATCGGTTTCAGTCCCATCCAAGCGGTGTTTTCTCAAATGTCTTTGAACAAGCTGTAGCGCGTAAAAGGACAGAGACGCATCTAGAAAACGAGCCGAATCCATTGCAAAAACAAGACCAAACTCGGCTCTGGCTCGCGGACGGCCTTTTAAAACGGTTAAATTGCGTTCGGGACAAAAAAGCGGGTCCTTTTTGCGCGAAAAATGCCAAAAATCCCGCACAAAATTCCGACATTTTGCAAATCGAAGCGCCGTGCTGGACTCGCTTTTCCGAGAGTTTTCGATAGATACCTAAATCGTAAAAATCGGACAGGTCAGCGGCCGGCTAGGGGGGGGTTTGGGACACCCCGTAGATTGTGGAGGATTTTGCTGCGCTATCCGAGATGTTATGTTTCGGAATCGATTTTCGTGTGGTTGGCGTTATTAGGCAGGTAGTTGTATCAAAAGTTAAAGTGGTCCAAAGCAGGCAACATTTTTTAGGCCACCTTATAGGAGATGGAAGGATGAACTGTCGATGACCTCTGTCGGCAATCGGATATTGGATGGCCTCGGGGCACCTCACGCAATACGGTATGCCTCTCTCTCTCTCCCTCTCTCTCTCTCTCTCTCTCTCTCTATCTCTCTCGCTTTGTCTCGAATAAATAGCCAGAGGCCATGCCCACGTTCAGAGATAGATTGTATCTTTTGGAGGCCATCCCCCCGGCAATATGCTACCCCCGACCGCCTAATGCTCTCAGGCTGTACAGGGTGTCCAAAAAAGCCCTCCCACTAACGGTCCGCAGTCGTGTCCGATTTTTACGATTTTCTTATCTATCGAAAGCTCTCGACGAGCTGAGCAGATGGTATTTCCCGATTTTCGAAATTCCCGAATTCTTGTGACATTTACTAAAACATTTTTGCGTTGGCTGAGTTTCGATGCCTTTTCTCATGGAAGTTTTTTTTTTAACAAAAACCCCATTTTCCAAATTTTTACGTCTTTCCTCGCACCCAAGGTCAGCGTTTTGAACGTAATTTGAGAAAACACACCTTGCATGGAACTGAAACCGATTACATTGAGTTTTGCACAAAATTGCGTAATTTGCGCGCCCAAGAAAAACGATGAAAATCGGGTTCAAAATTTCGAGAACTTCACAAATCGGAGAGAATAGATCTGCTCAGCTCGTCAAGAGCTTTCGATAGATACCCAAATCGTCAAAATCGGACATCACTCACAGGTCAGTGCATCCACCCGAAATCCACTCGGAATCCCGGAGGGGAGCGAGGGGAATTCCACTAGCGGACGCGAGTGGATTCCACATGGAAATCGAGTGGATTCCGGGTGGAACGTATGGATCTCGGGTGGAAACCAAGTGGATCCACTCGGTTTCCACTCAATTTCCATTTGCCGCGACGCGTGGGGCCCGCGTTGCGTCGTGTTTCCACCCGATTTCCACTGCGGCCACCCGATTTCCCTGCGTTCCACCCGGATTCCAGGTGGAATCCACGCGGATTTCGGGTGGCGGCACGGAACTGTGCTGCCGACCGCTAGCGGGGATCGTTTTCTTTGGGACATCCTGTGCTGCACAAAAAGTTCTTGTTGTTTTTTCGACAGCAGCGTTGATCTCGGAGCTGAATGTGGGACGTCATTTTGAAGTACGCTTGGTCTTCCATAGAATGGATATATTAGCTTACAAAAAGACTTTTTTTTAGTGTGAACGGAGTTTTGAGTCGGAGCCAGCCCGAGGGGGGGGAGCAAATAACGGGGTGGAAACAATTTTTGCGTTTATGAAGAATATCCTGCGATTTTGAAAACACCACCGGATAGAGCGTCGAAAATTGTACTATGTGATTTGAAGAATTTGGGCTGAATTTCATTAGAAAATTCTGCACCAAAATAGGTGCGGATTTGGACTCAAAACTCCATTCACCCCTAAAAAACGCCTCCTTGTTAGTCGTCGTTGCACATTTTGTAGTGCGCCAAGAACCTAGCCGAATGTTGATCTAAAAACGGCAAAAAGTTTGTACAGGGTGGGCCAGAAAAAAAGCCCCTAGTTTGCACTGAAATAACTCACGAACGGAAACGAATCGAACCATCGTTACCTTGCCAGAATGCTTAAATATGCTGGGTATGAAGAATAAACACAAGTTGTTTTTTACGATTTTTGACGACCCCCTACTCGTTAAGAATTTTTGAACATCTTTGAAAAAATAGAAAACTTTGAAGCGATAAAGTATGCAACTTTTGAAGAGTTATAGTAAAGTGTAGGGTATCAAAATGAAGCTCTTGTAATGCGCTATCAGACGCGTGGTAAAGATTGTCATTCGGATTAACTAGCCGTCAATAGGAGCATTCGGAAGATCCGGCCTTTTCCAGAAGGGGCGATTTCGAGTTAACCATAGAAAGCACATGGCCGCCGTCACTTTTTGTATTTGTTAGATGTAATCCTGTTTGCCAAAGATAACCATATTATAAATTTAACTATAGGAGCGTAGAACTCACAAATTCCGCCGACTTGGCAAAGTGCCAAAAATTTTTTTTGATCGGGATTTTGAAAATCTTAATGCCAAAAGTTAGTAGTTAACTATCTATTCGTAAATGCATAATATCAGAAAGGTCGAATGGTAAAGAAATTATATCTTGAATTATTTCGGCAAAAGTGCCGATTTTCCGACCGTTCCTTTTTACAGCTAGTTAAACCGTTCTATATTCTTTACCACTGGTTTGATAGCGCATTCCAAGGGCTTCATTTTGATACCCTTGAAATCTCTCTAACTCATAAAAAGTTCCATTAATTTCCTCTTCAAAGTTTCCTACTTTTTCAAAAATGTTCAAAAATTCTTAACGAGTAGGGGGTCGTCAAAAATCATAAAAAACAACTTGTGTTTATTCTTCATACCCAGCATATTTAAGCATTCTGGCAAGGTAACGATGGTTCGATTCGTTTCCGTTCGTGAGTTATTTCAGTGCAAACTAGGGGCTTTTTTTCTGGCCCACCCTGTAGACTACAAACAAACTACAGGGTGTCCCAAACCCCCCCCCCCCCCTAGAGGTCGTCAATCGGATCGGATCGGAATGATTTTTACACGAATCGAAAGCTCTCGGAAAGGCGAGAAAACAAGCGGGTTTCGTTTTCTAAGATTTAATCTGATTCTATCGATATTTCAGGTTTTCCTAAAAATCCGGGAATTTTTCATCAGGAATTTCGCAATCTCGCATAAATCAGCAGTTTTCAATGGTTTTTGGACCTAAATTAGCAAATAAAAAGGTTTAATTAAAAAATTCAACCCTCCTTGTTTTCTCGCCTTTTCGAGAGCATTCGATAGATACCTAAATCGTAAAAATCGGAATCGACCGCGGACCGCTAGGTGGGGGCAGGCCTGGGAAAGGGCCGGCCCGGGCCGGCCCGGGCCGGCCCTAAACCCAAAATTTTGGGCCCCGGCCCGGCCCGGCCCTACCGCCAAAAACTGGGCCCGGGCCGGCCCAGGGCCGGCCCTACATTTTGACCTTAACTACCGCCATTCATCAGAGGAGTCCCAACATAAGCTGAGAGTACGTTTTGATGTCTCAGGTCATGCCAAATGGCATTTCAGTGATTTCAAATTGTTTCCGGTAGAAAAAAGCAAAAAGCAAAAAATTGACCTCGGGCGGGGTCGAACCCGGGTCGTTTTCCTGGTAAGCAATTTTGATCAAAAATTTATTTTTTTTGTTTAAGCTGTGTAGATAGATAGCGTAATCTCTATACATGTAAAAATAATAAATATTATCGCTACATAATTGCATTTAAATATATTTCAGATTCGTTCAGGAAGGTCGGGCCGGCCCGGGCCGGCCCGGGGCCGACCCTGCTTTTCCCAAGGCCGGCCCCGGCCCGGCCCGGCAACCGCCAAAATTTGGGCCCGGCCCGGGCCGGCCCTAAAAATTCCCAGGCCTGGGTTGGGGGGGTTGGGACACCCTGTACTACTAATATCGCACATCAAGAGCACTCCAAAATGATGTAGCACCTCAATCTCCGAGCACAAAGCTGCTTTCGAAACAAACGCGAAGCCTTTTTGGGGTACAGCGGACAGAAAACATACCTTTTTACCGAGTGCCGTCAAAGATATTTTTCCGTTTTCCGATATTCCAACGATTTTTCGCTAGAAGGCAGACATGGCAACCGGCCGGGCCGAGCGGCTCGGCCGACCGGAATTGCCATCGCTGCCAAAAGGCTTCATTTTGCGTCTAGGCTACAAACTATTATGGATGTCGGGACAATCGTCGTTTTGTTGCTATATATGATCTGGTGGCTGTTCATGGTTGGGTTGCAGTGGACTTTCGACTGTGCTGACGTAAGTCTTTTCGCTCTTATAAAAACTCTCTCTCTCTCTCTCTCTCTCTCTCTCTCTCTCTCCCTCTCTTCTTTCTCTCTTTTTCTCTCTCTTTTTCTCTGTCCCTCTCTCTCTCTCTCCCACTCTCTCGCTCCGTCTGTCTCTTTCTCTCTCTTCTTTCTCTCTCTCTCTTTCTCTGTCCCTCTCTCTCTCTCACTCTCTCGCTCTGTCTCTCTTTCTCTCTCTTCTTTCTCTCTCTCTTTCTCTGTCCCTCTTTCTCTCTCTCTCTCCTTATCTCTCTCTGTCTCTCTCTCCCCCCCCTCTCTCTCTCTCCTCTGTGCTCTCTCTCTCTCTCTCTCTCTCTCTCTCTCTCTCTCTCTCTCTCTCTCTCTCTCTCGCTCTGTCTGTCTCTTTCCCTCTCTCTCTCTCTCTTTCTCTCTCGCTCGCTCTCTCCATCAATGTGCACCATTACAGTTTTCCGTACATCTTAATGGATCGGATGCTATGCTAATTCCGAGCAACGGATGCCCGCCGTGGAAACTCCCACCGGGACGTAAAGTGTGTTTTGCGGACGTTTGTTCCCCCCCGTTAAGCGACCTTTACCCAAATAATTAGCTTCCAACCTGATATCCCATTTCAGCCTGCATTCACCTGTATTGGTCTGGCAGTGGCATCCTTCATCGCGCTCTGCTTCACCCTCGCACCCCTCGGTATGCTTTCTTCTTCGGGTTTTCTCATCACTTTAGGTGTGTGGTACATGCTCGTCATGGATGAATGGTCCCATTTTTGTCTAATCACCGCCTTATTCACTCTAGTCGGACGTCTTCTATCCTCTATGATCAGACATTTTTACATGAGTGCCATCGGACTGGCCGTTTTCTATTGTCTCCTCTCTCTGCATATCAAATTTATACCTACTCTGCCTGAACGAGAGCATGCACTGAGATTGCACTGACTACAGGGTGGCTTCCTGATGGCTTCAGACACCCCCCGCTATCCTATGAGTACCGAACTGACTACGTTTAATAAAGGCCTTTCAATCTTCGAAAAAACACCGTCCAAGGGAAGACCGCAATGTGAAGGTATTTGATCATCTTGCTGTAAACTGTTTTTACTCAGGCTGGCGTTTTAGGATAGGACCAAGGATATCTTGTGTAGAATTTTTCGCTCATCCCGAATCTGTTTTCCAAATCTGCTGCCGACCTTCCACTAAAACTAGCCAAGCAATCAAGCTTCTTTTAGAACGCGGAATTTAAAAACTATTCTAGAGGTTCTTCGTAAGAATGCCGTTCCCGAAATCCCGAAACCCTCTATCCCGAAACTCAGTATTTTGCGTTTCCTAACGCCTTAGTAGATCCTTGAAGGTATCGGACAATCATTTTATCAAATTTCCGAAATCGAAAAATATCGGAAAACTATTTACTTCAAAGATCTAGTCTGGTGTTCGGTATGTAAAAGCTAGCTAACTTGTTTCGGGATACGGAGTTTCGGCATCGAGAGTTTTCGGGATTGAGGAAACACCCCTATTCATACAATCCAAGCGCTAAGGGCGCCAAGGAGCAGCCTCCTAACAATTTCAATTACCCCCCATAGCCGAAATCCGCTGAAAAAACTACTTCTATACCTTCCTGATCGCTACACATAGCCCCCATAGCCGAAATCCGCTGAAAAAACTGCTTTTATACCTTCCTGATCGCTACACATAGCCCCCATAGCCGAAATCCGCTGAAAAAACTACTTCTATACCTTCCTGATCGCTACACATAGCCCCCATAGCCGAAATCCGCTGAAAAAACTACTTCTATACCTTCCTGATCGCTACACATAGCCCCCATAGCCGAAATCCGCTGAAAAAACTACTTCTATACCTTCCTGATCGCTACACATAGCCCCCATAGCCGAAATCCGCTGAAAAAACTACTTCTATACCTTCCTGATCGCTACACATAGCCCCCATAGCCGAAATCCGCTGAAAAAACTACTTCTATACCTTCCTGATCGCTACACATAGCCCCCATAGCCGAAATCCGCTGAAACAACTACTTCTATACCTTCCTGATCGCTACACATAGCCCCCATAGCCGAAATCCGCTGAAAAAACTACTTCTATACCTTCCTGATCGCTACACATAGCCCCCATAGCCGAAATCCGCTGAAAAAACTACTTCTATACCTTCCTGATCGCTACACATAGCCCCCATAGCCGAAATCCGCTGAAAAAACTACTTCTATACCTTCCTGATCGCTACACATAGCCCCCATAGCCGAAATCCGCTGAAAAAACTACTTCTATACCTTCCTGATCGCTACACATAGCCCCCATAGCCGAAATCCGCTGAAAAAACTACTTCTATACCTTCCTGATCGCTACACATAGCCCCCATAGCCGAAATCCGCTGAAAAAACTACTTCTATACCTTCCTGATCGCTACACATAGCCCCCATAGCCGAAATCCGCTGAAAAAACTACTTCTATACCTTCCTGATCGCTACACATAGCCCCCATAGCCGAAATCCGCTGAAACAACTACTTCTATACCTTCCTGATCGCTACACATAGCCCCCATAGCCGAAATCCGCTGAAAAAACTACTTCTATACCTTCCTGATCGCTACACATAGCCCCCATAGCCGAAATCCGCTGAAAAAACTACTTCTATACCTTCCTGATCGCTACACATAGCCCCCATAGCCGAAATCCGCTGAAACAACTACTTCTATACCTTCCTGATCGCTACACATAGCCCCCATAGCCGAAATCCGCTGAAAAAACTACTTCTATACCTTCCTGATCGCTACACATAGCCCCCATAGCCGAAATCCGCTGAAAAAACTACTTCTATACCTTCCTGATCGCTACACATAGCCCCCATAGCCGAAATCCGCTGAAAAAACTACTTCTATACCTTCCTGATCGCTACACATAGCCCCCATAGCCGAAATCCGCTGAAACAACTACTTCTATACCTTCCTGATCGCTACACATAGCCCCCATAGCCGAAATCCGCTGAAAAAACTACTTCTATACCTTCCTGATCGCTACACATAGCCCCCATAGCCGAAATCCGCTGAAAAAACTACTTCTATACCTTCCTGATCGCTACACATAGCCCCCATAGCCGAAATCCGCTGAAAAAACTACTTCTATACCTTCCTGATCGCTACACATAGCCCCCATAGCCGAAATCCGCTGAAAAAACTACTTCTATACCTTCCTGATCGCTACACATAGCCCCCATAGCCGAAATCCGCTGAAAAAACTACTTCTATACCTTCCTGATCGCTACACATAGCCCCCATAGCCGAAATCCGCTGAAAAAACTACTTCTATACCTTCCTGATCGCTACACATAGCCCCCATAGCCGAAATCCGCTGAAAAAAACTACTTCTATACCTTCCTGATCGCTACACATAGCCCCCATAGCCGAAATCCGCTGAAAAAAACTGCCGAGATGCACTTCCCTTGTCATTTTAGACAGCGGCGGAAACATAACATTGACTTGGAACGGTGATTTACGGGGGACGTATAGCCAAAATGAAGCAAAAAAGATATCTTCTACATGTGACGAATATTACGCTTCACGAGCTGCTCAATCAAATAACGCACGAAGAAAAAGCCGTCGAAGCTCTTATCGCTTTCCCTTGCTCTAGCCGTGCAAAATGTATTGCCGTGTATTAAACCTTTATTCACGCGACGGATGAACGCAATAAAACGCAATAAAATCAAGGTCCACATGATATCACAAAAAGCGCTCGATTCTGTAGCTTACAATGATGGGCACATTTTTGAGATGGATTCACACATCAACGTGTTTGCAAGAAGGATTCGGGTGCGCGGTTTTGGGCCGTATTCAAATAACCACTTTTTCACATTTAAATACCACGGTTCTTGTTGTGATTCCAGATGCCATGCGGCGCGGCGCGTATCAATCAGCTGCTCCAATGACGAAGGGCATTCTGAAAATGAGTATACTGGCAGGCGGGCGCATATTATAAATTTTCGAAGTCTCAAAAGCACAAAGTTAGCCTGAACCGGAATCAACCGTCGCCTATTTTGGGCAGGAAGCGAACAGGCGACCAGATTCTACATATCTCCAAACTTTCAGAACCACAAAAATCAACAAACCTGTCGCGGAGAACACTAGACGCAAATTCCATCGGGCGATGCACACATCCCTCCATCCGAGCTCGATTTCTCTAATCTTGCCGTAGTGGTCGAACAGCTCCTTGCCCCCCGTGAAGTCGGCCGTCGATTTGTAGTGCTGCAAAAAACAGGCGGTTCTTGTGCAATATTGGGGGGGGGGGTGAAAAGGAATTTTGAAAAGCAAATTTTCCCGAATTTTTTCACTCGATTTCGGCATTCTTTACCAAATTTGTCTCATTTACCAAAGATCATCCCATCTGTGTGATGTACGGATTTGTCGATGGCAAGGCAATCGTCGATCCAAATGCCCGAGAAGAGCTGTTTCTTGACGGATGCCTTTGGATGGCTATCAACAAGCGCAAGGAGGTGTGTGCCATGCACCAGACTGGTCGATTGATCCTGTCGACGGGCACTATCACGGCGTGCGTGAAACGTTCCTTTCAACGAGCCTCTGATTTGACTGATCTCATCGCCTCCACGTGCAGCAAAGACGCCATTACTCGGGGGAAGAACCAAAAGACGGCTGGCTTTTCGAACTTGATCGGTGGCGACTTCATCAGTTTGTATGAGAACCAGCCGAACGAGATGATCCAAATCGAGGACCGATGCGATTCGCCAAGCACATCTGACGGTCAAGGGCGGATAACTGAGGCTTCCTTGGCTGAGGGCACAACTTTGGTCGAAGATGAGGAGGATGGTGATGCGTTGATCCAGGCTCAGGTCGACAATATTGCTGCCTCGGTGGAAGGATGTCGCATGGAGGTCACGAAAAGCACTAAAGCCGGTCGCACCAAGGCTGCCCGACGTAACAAAGATCAAGCGGGGCTCGGTGATTTGCTGGATGGGATCGTGGATCCGCCAATGGATGTCGATGTCAAGCCGGAGCCGCTGGCAGCCATCGCGCAGTCCTCTACAGAACAGCCACAACAAGAGGCGGCCACTTCGGGCTGGTCGGGCATGTCCGCCATTCGACGAAAGAAGCTTTGATTTTGTTTGCTTTGTGATTCCTTTTCTGATTCGGGTGCCAGCGCTTATTTGTTGATTTTGAGAATTCGATTTTCACGGCGTGTGTACACATTGTTTTGTGAGTAAAGCGTCTTCTTTCTTTTCCACATTGTTTTCGGTGTTTTCAATTCAAAAAAATTAAAAATTATTTTGCAGGAAGATGCAGATCTTCGTCAAGACGTTGACGGGGAAGACGATCACCCTCGAGGTCGAGGCGTCGGACACGATCGAGAATGTGAAGGCCAAGATTCAAGACAAGGAGGGCATCCCCCCGGACCAGCAGCGCCTCATCTTCGCCGGTACATTTTTTATGTCAAAAAGTTGGAATAGCTGGATTCATTGGAGGTTTCCTCCTCGCAAAATTCGGTCGTCACTCTTTGTGGCTGTCCATTTGCTGAATCCTAGAATAAGGGCTGCGCGGCGCTTCATTGCCTTTTTGAAGATGTCCGATCCCTCCGGCATATTCCTTATCTTGGCCGAGTCCCGTCGGGGCCGTGAATGCTGAGAAAAACCATGCTGTAGACATTAAAAAATTTTTTTAAAGAAACAATCCAGTCTGCTTTACGGTGTTCCACCTCTAATTTTGTTTATTTCAGGCAAGCAGCTCGAGGACGGACGCACGCTGTCCGACTACAACATCCAGAAGGAGTCCACCCTCCACCTCGTCCTTCGTCTTCGCGGAGGTCCGTTCTCGTTTTGCGTTTATTGATTACATTCGTTATTTAGGTATCATCGAGCCGTCGCTGCGTCAATTGGCCCAGAAGTACAACTGCGAGAAGCAGATCTGCCGTCGCTGCTATGCCCGACTGCCGCCCCGTGCCACAAACTGTCGCAAGAAGAAGTGCGGCCACTCCAATGATCTGCGCATCAAGAAGAAGCTGAAATAAATAAACAAGAGGTTTTTGTGCTTTTTGTTGTCGAATAAATTGTTGTTTTGTAACTTTTGCTGCCCATCGAATCGCTTTTGTGAGGTGTACTTGTTTATTAGATTTCAGACTGTAAGCATAGAATGGATTCTATGGTGAACGGGCGTTTTTGATGGTGACTGTTTGGGTTTGGTGGCTTCAAATCGTCGTTGTCTGGGTGATAACAAGCCGGATAAGAGGGTGATTGTGTCGGCATATACACCATCCATCCATAGTTCAGGGGAGAGGGCTGAGGCTGGAATTTGTTGCGTTTTACTTTTTGGAGGATCGAGCGGGCGTACTAGAGCTCCTCTTTGCCCCTTACCGTGATGTGAATGGGATGCCAGTATTCTTTGAAGGGTTGTGCGCGTTCTTCTTCTGCGGCTTCCGGTTTGAACGCGATTTCCTGGGGCTTTGCGCCTTTGGTGGTTTGATTCTCGTGGCTGGGCCCGGCTCGGCACCGCTCTTCTGAAAAGCGTTATCGTTTTGAACGTTTTTTCGACCAAAAAGACCTAGTTTCGACAAAATTTTCAAATTGTTACATGGTCTTACAGTTTACGTATCCTATTAATAACAAAAAACGTTTAAATTTGGATTCAAAATTGAAAAATATCGATTTTTCGACTAAAAATGGCCGCTTTCGACCGGGATTTCAAAATTTTTGTTAGTTTTTTAAGTGTGTTTCAAATATTCCTAACTTTTACTGAAAATACTGTTCAATTTTGTTGTTGCTAGACATTTCTAGGCGTTTATCTAGGTAAAATTAGCCCCCCGATAATGGAAAAGATCCGGATTGATACCTTTGATGGTCCTATCCAACGCCCTTCTCGTGTCGATCAATTGGCATTGAGCACAACCACATTTCAGGTAGGCGCACTGCTTCTTGTGGTCCTGAAATAAAGACTTTTGTCATTTAGACGTGCTGCCGTGGCACAACGGTTCCGTTCTCGCCCGTCGTCCACAAGACCAGGGTTCGATTCCCGGGGGTGACAAAACGTTTTGCTTTTTGCTCGCCCACCTTTTTCCACTTGAGGAGACCGTGGTTTTTGCACTTTTGGCAGACGTAGCACGTGCTCAGCTGCTCCTGCAATTTCAAAGTTTTCTTTTTCGGTTTCGGAAGAATTGGGGGTTTTGGTCTGTTAGCGGGGGGGACACTTCTTTTCTATCTACACCTGCCTGTCGATGATATATTATGTATTTTTGTAGTGTTTTTCGTCGTTTTTAATTACTAGAAAGTTACAAAAACGTTTATTTTATTTGAAAATTCGAAATTTTGTTTTTTTTTTGGTGATTTTTCATACATCTTGACCAAAAAGCCAAATTTTGATAAGTTTTCATTGTTTTTCTGTTGTTTCCATAGCTAAAAACTATGTAAAATGCTATAAAAATGGTTTATATTTTGTTATAGGGTCGTTGAGAATCATAGGGAAAGAATTTGGTTCCCCCTAAAAATTCGGTTTTTCGCGCACCATATTCAGATCCTTTTTCTCGATGATAAGCGTGGCCATGGCGGCATCAGTTGTGCGCTGGAATTGACGGTCCTGCTGACGGCGGAGGCGGATTTGCGTCGACATTATCAGGCGACGCTCACGGATTAGGAGACACTGAAACGGAGAGATCGCTCCACAATGAGCTTCCCTGATTGTCTCTGCTAGCTGCTTCAATACCAGCTCGACCGGTCGGCTTCGTTTTTTTTGTATCTAACTTTTCCCAAATAATCCGTGCTAGCCTGCCCAATTCTGATTTCCTCTAGCTAAAGGTTGATTCGCACTGGTTTTCAGGAGAATTTCTGCAAATTTTCCCTGCTAGCTCGCCTGATTCAGATTTGATCCAAGCGTCTGTCAATCGGCTGCTTCCACAAAGAATCCGTGCTAGCCTGCCATTCCCTAAAGGTTCGAGCTAGCGGACTGGCAGCCGGTTAGACGATCGGCACGGTTTTTGAAGCCGAATTTCCGCAAATAATCCCGGCCAGCCTGGCCGATTGCGATTTCCTCTAGCTGCCTGCCAACCTAGCAATTCCACAAAGGGGATCTGCTAGCCTGCCCTTCGCTAATGGTTTCTGCTAGCTGGCCGACTGCCAGTTTATTGATACGTCCGCTTTTTTGGAGCCAAATTTCTAAATTCTCTCTGCTAGCTTGCCTCCTTCTTATTTGCTCTATCTGTCTGCGAACCTAGCAGTTCCACCAAGAATCCCTGCTAACGTGCCCTTCGCTAATGGTTTCTGCTAGCTGGCCGACTGCCAGTTTATTGCTACGTTTGCTGTTGAGACCCAAATTCCACAAGTTACCCCGGCTAGCCTGCCCAATTATGATTTCCTCTAACTGCCTGCCAACCTAGCATTTCCGCAAATAATTCGTGCTAGCCTGGCCTTCCCTAATTGTCTCTGCTAGCTGGCTGCATGCCACTTTGTCTATTCGTGCGTTATTTGGAGCTAAATTCCGCAAATATTCCGTGCTAGCCCGCCCTCAAATTGTCTCTGCTAGCCCACCTTCTCACATCGGCAATCCCTAAACGGGCAATGATGTCCTCGTGTCTCCACGGTCAGCCCATGTTGACGACAGATACCACAGTGGCGACGAACATCTGAAAGGAGGGCAGGCTAGCAGTGGTTCTTGGGGAGTTAAGCGAGCGTGACACTCACCTTTAGGGATACGCTTGTGGACACCGAAGAAACGAGTGCATTCTGTCGGGTGGACACGCTCTGATCGCATTTCTGGAAAGTGGGGGAGGTCTAGCAGAGATTCTTTGAGGAATGGAGATTGAGAGAGAGAGAGATAGAGATAGAGAGATAGAGAGGGAGAGAGAGAGAGAGCGAGAGAGAGAGAGCGAAGAGGGAGACTGGCAGCCTAGCAGAGATTCTTTGAGGAATGGAGATTGGGGGAGCGAGAGAGAGAGAGAGAGAGAGAGAGAGAGAGAGAGAGAGAGAGAGAGAGAGAGGGAGACTGACAGCCTAGCAGAGATTCCTTGAGCAATCCGGCTGGTTCTTCCGTGTCAAAATTCATTCCCAATACCCCCTTCTGACACCTTCCCCGCCTCCGGGGGGCGTGGCTTCCTCAGGGGTTTTTTGGAGGTGAGCCGAGCCAATTTTTGGAATGCTACCGTAATCCGGGAGTTGGGCCCAAAAATTCGCAAATGGTCTCTGCTAGTTGACCCATTTTCTATGAAATTCTGGGTGTTCGGTTGCCTTTAAAATCCTCAAGAATCTCTGCCACAAACTACAGTGATAGGGTAGAGTTGAGCAAGGTGTTCGGAGGGGGAATGGTAAGGGGAGACAGAGGGTCAGATTACTCAGGAAGTAGAACGGGAGAGAGAGAGAGAGAGAGAGAGAGAGAGAGAGAGAGAGAAGGAGAGGGAGAGGGAGAGGGAGAGAGAGGGAGACAGAGGGAGAGAGAGAGAGAGAGGGTGATCACTGGATTTCAAAGCTCGGGAATTCCTCATTCCCACGAACTCGTCATGGTCAAGCAGTACGGGGAATCTAGGGTCAACTTGCAGAGGTTCTTTGAGAAATCCTGGGGTCAACTAGCATGTATTCTTTGCGGACACTCCTTTGCGGAATCTGGAGCAAACTAGCGGAGATTCTTTGCGGAAGCTGGGGCCAGCTAGCGAAGATTCTTTGTGGAATCCTGGGGTAAGTGGCGGAGATTCTTTGCGGAATCTTAGGCAAACTCTTCGAGATTCTTTGCAAAATCTAGGGCAAACTAGCCGAGATCCTTTGCGCAATCCCGGTTCCCGATTTTGAAACGCTTTTGTGCCCTGAATGTGCCTCTTTTTCTTGCCTAAAAAGTGTAGAGAGAGAGAGGTCTATAGATGCCCCCTAGATAGTCTCCCTCCCCTTCCCCTCCCTTCGCCGCCAAAAATCGTCGAAAAACTCGAGTAAAAAACGGTGAAAAATAGTGTGACATGGCGACGGGTACGGGCTGAGACACCCCCAAGAATTCTTTTGACTTTTTTTAGGACAGTTCGACACCCTTTTAGGGCAAAAAGCAAAAAGTGAGCCGCGGCCGGGGGTCGAACCCGCCGGGTCATCGAAGAGACAGTTTAGAGGTTCGAATTTGTAATTTGGCATCCAGTCAAACTATCTCCATCGAAAAATCGGCAAAAGCCCAAAAAGCAAAAACTTAACCGCGGCCGGGAGTCGAACCCGGGTCATGTGGGCGACAGTTTAAAGTTTGTAGTCGGTTTTGTAGGGTGTATTCAGTCGGCTGGATGGTAGTTGAGCGGTTCCCGCAAAGGATCTTTGCTAGACTGCCCCTTTTCCTCCAAGAATCTTCGCTAGTACGCCCTGGATTCCGCAAAGCGCCTTTGCCAGCTGGCAAAAACTGCTAAAACGCGAGCGGGGCAGCTAGCAGAGGGCGTTTGCGGAATCACTGGGGATACAAGATTTTCCTCTCCAAGATCCCTGCTAGTTTGCCCTGGTTTCCACAAAGAATCCCTGCTAGTTGGCCTCGATTCCGCAAAGCATCTCTGCTGGTTCGCCCCGTTTCTGCAAAGAATCTCTGCTAGTTGGCCCCCATTTCCACAAAGAATTTCTGCTAGTCTGCCCTAGTTTCCGCAAAAATATCTGCTAGTTAGCCCCGATTCAGCAAAAATCACTGCTTGCTGGCTTTAGATTCCTCAAAAAATCTCTGCTAGCCTGCCCAGGGGCGTTGCCAGAAAAAAATTTCGGGGGGGAGGGCCGAAAAAATTTTTCCAAAAAACTCAAACCATTGCCGAAAAAACAGCGCCGCAGGCAAAAATGTTTGAAAAAAAGGTTACATAGCTCTGCAAATAGCCGTAAAAACGTGGAAAAAAAAAGCGCCGCAGGCAAAATTTTTGAGAAAATAAAAATCATAAGGGTCCCCCCTGATGAAATTTTCGGGCCCCGGCCGATTTCGTGGGGGGGCCGGGGCCTGTATTACGCTACGTCCCTGAGCCTGCCCAAAATTCATAAATCAACCCCGGCCAGCTAGCAGAGAACATTTGCGGACTGGGTGGGGGCAGGCGAGCAGAGATCATTTGGGATGGGTGCCATCATGGGATTGCTGTCAACCTGCCAATTTTTACGAGCGCCAATCCCTTTCTTTCTCCGGCTGCTGACTACCGAAATAATTTGGGCTGTCGAAAAGTGTGATAATTCGCCGCCGGGGATTCCATTTATTTTGACATTCATTAGCAATTTCGGGGGGTGGAGAGGGGGCAGATTAGATTCCGTTTATGTCCTCTGAACGGGTGGCCTCTCGAAAAAGTTGTGACGGCGAAAAATGAGCTGTTTGGGGGGCGGGGCAGGTCTATGCGTAGGCTTAGCTTTAACTTTGCGTACGCTTGGCTTAGGCTTGACTTATGTCTAGGCTTGGCTTAGGCATAGGCTTGGTGTAGGCATAGGCTTGGTTTCGGCTTAGCTTAGGCTTGTTCTAGACTTAGCTTAGGGTTGGGCTGAAGCCAAGGCTCGGCCTAGCTTATGCTTTGGCTGGGCTTGGCTTGGTTAGCTTTGGCTTTGAGACAAGCTTAGGCCGGAAAAACCCCCAAAAAAGCTGCTCCCCCCCCCCCCGCCCCAAAATCAATAGCTCCGAAAAATGTGACGTTTTCACTTGAATGTTTGCCGAGAAATTCAAAAAATTTTGTATGTCAATTTTTTTGAGCTTTTTTAATCCAAAAACTCGAGAATGAATGTGTTTTTTGTCTGCTGTCGGTGGCAAAATAAACGTTTTATTTATTCTACCCGATTCAACATGCAAAAATGACCACAACAATGGAGGGGAAAAATGAAGGCAACGTTTTATAAGTGGTTTTTGGGGGGGAGGTGGTTACGGTAGATTGGGGCAAAATATAGGAATTTAGGGCGAAAACCAGGGTAATCACAGTCGGCTGATCAACTAGAGGAGCGGTCACGTTTTTGGAGGCGTTATTGCAGATTTTTGAGGGGGTTTTTGGTAAAATCTACGATATTTTTGACGAATTTTTAATTTGAATTTGGTCTCTACATCGCCAGGGGCTTATCCTTAACATTTGACAGTACAAATTCGGTGAATGTTCGCAGGAATTTGGGGTATTCCTTCTTGTAGACGGTACGAAGGGCTGCCGTTGGTACCCAGCCACCCGGATGCACTGGAAAAAAGGAGGTATGATGCGTTAAAAATCCCGGCAATCGAATCTGCGGCTGTCAGAATGCCGACAGCTAAAATGCCGGTGGAAGAAACGCAAAAAACGCCGAAAAATATCGTTTCTGTCGGCATTTCAGAGCCCGAAGAATGCCGACATCGAAGAAATACCGGCGAAGAATACCGACAAAATGAATCTCGAGGCCCAAAATGCCTAAAAATCGAAAGTGTCGGCATTTCGAAATTCGCGAAATTTAAAACCCGTTTCACTTATCGGCATTTTCGAATTTAGTATCGTCCGGTGGGAACGCCCGCGCAAGAAATGCCGACAATCCAATCTACGCCAGCCAGAATGCCGACAACTAAAATGCCGACAAAATAAATGTCAAATAACACCCTAAAAGATCTTTTCTGTCGGCATCTCAAAGCTTTTTAATAATCTCGACAAAATGAAATTTCTGTCGGTATTTAGAAATTTTTGGGATTCGACAACACTTTCAATTGTCGGCATTTTCGCGTTGAGTCCCGTCAGTAAAAACGCAGACAACCAAAATGCCGACATAAGAAATTCTGAAAAATCGAGGATAATCGGCATTTTTCGGTATTCTGGCTGTCGGCATTTTGAAATGTGTTGTTAGGTGGTCGGTATTTTAGTCGTCGACAAGATGGTAAACCACTCACCGCATGAAACGTAGAGAATACGACAGGATACGTCGGCACGGGTGCAGTCGGCCGCTAAAAATTTGGGGTTCCGAATGCCGCAAATGATCTCGGCTAGCTGGCCCCGCTGGGACTTACCGGGCTTATTCCCAGCGATCAACGTCTCGCACACCATCGACACGGTCAGCTTGACGCGAACTGAGGACGACGTGCCCAGCTGAAAGATTTTGGCGTTTCGAGGAGCGCTACGTATTTTAAATGGTCTCTGCTAGCCTGCCCTACGTTTTTTGCTACTCCTAAACGTAAAACTATGCAAATTTTCAGTAGAAAAATACAAAAATATCGATTTTTCGACCCGAAAATCGCCGAAAATTCGTCATATGCGAAAAATGCGAAAATTTTCAGGATTTCAAGGCGCTCCTCGTACTTGAAATGGTCTCTGCTAGCGTGCCCTTACCGGTACATCCTCTCTAATCACATCCTTATTGCACACGATATACAGATCGGCCGCATCGGGGCTTTTCATCGCGTCAACCCGCCGGATATGCGTCCAAAAGAGCGATTCTCGCGAAGCTGCCGGCCAGATCTGAAGTGCGCGCTGTCACACTCCCTTTAAACTATGAATTACGCTGCGTAATCGATCACGCCATGAAAATCTTGCTGATTATGGCGCTCCCATGAGAATTATGGGGTGTAATCGGCTAAACAGCGTTTGATTTTCATTGCGTAATCGATTACGACACGAAAATTCACCCTATCCGGCCCGTTCAGAATTACACGGGGTAATCGAGGTGACCCTGCTTTAACTGACCGTTTTGTGTCTCTGATGCAGGAGGGCCGTGTCGGGTGAGGGATTGTCGAGAACAGACACTGCCTCCAGCGTGTGATCCCAATTCTTCTTGTAGCGAGGGTCGAAGAAGTAGTGCATGTATTCAAGGGCTGAGACTCCCTGAAAAAGTTATATTTCTCTCTCTCCCTCTCCCTGTCTCTCTCCCCCCCTCTATCTCTGTCTCTCTCTGTATCTCCCAATCTCTCTCACTACCTCTCGCTCTCTCTCTCGCCCTCCCTCTCTCTCCCCCTCTCTCTCTGTTTCTCTCTGTCTCTCTCTGTCTCTCACTCTCTCTCGCTCTCTCGCTCTCTCTCACTCTCTCACTCTCTCTCACTCTCTCACTCTCTCTTTCCCTCTCGCGCTTTGTCTCTCTCCCTCTCTCTCTCCCTCTCTCTCTCTCCATCTCTCTCACCTTGACATGATGCAATGCCTTCAATGGATCGACGGGCAGTCCATCCATCTCTACTTCCCTCTTAAACATCTTCATCTGTCCATCTTCAGCGAATAATGTCCACGTCGAGTTGTCGACCCCCTCCATCGCGTATCGTAGCTGAAAGTATAGTCGCGTAGCTAAAGGGGCTGGCAAGTCTTTCGATTTTGCCGGAATCTTTGAAATTTTGGTCAAAACTCGGGAATTTTTGCGCGAAAAACCGACATTTTTAGATTTTTAATCCAAATTTAAATTTTTTACGTTTAGGAACAGTCAAAAACGGTTTAAATCTACTAGCTGGCTGGCTGTCAGTTTGTCGATTGTCGTGTGTCGAGTATTTAGCGAAATTTCCCGAAATGCTCTCTGCTAGCCGACCTGTTGCATGGTAATCTCCTCCACTTCGGCGTGTAGTTCGTAGTTTCCGGGGAGTTGAACGTGGTCAAAACACCCGAATGGCAGATTCTGAACCAAAAATTATGATAAAAATTGGAACATCTACCCTTTTTGGAGCGGCGACGACTTGAACGACGGCTTGAGGCGGTTCAGCTCGGTTCTGGCAGGCCGAGCTCGGTCTAAAAATCTTTTTTTAGGGCTTTTTCGCGAAAACCGTCAACTGGCTGGCAAGGAATGTCCAGAAAAAACCAGGCATGCTAGCAGAGGCCATTTGGGGTAGCGATTACGACATGAAATGGTCTATGGCAGCCAGTTAGAAAATTGACGAGACGGCCAAGCTAGCAGAAACGCTTTGAGGATTGGGTTACGCCATGCAGAGGTTTGGCATTGGCAGCCAGATAGGAAATTGGCGAGGCAGGCAAGCTGGCAGATGCCATTTGGGGAATCGATTACGACATCTAATGGTGGTCTGGTAGTCAGATAAAAAAATTGGCAGAAACCGAAAGCCAGCAGAGACCATTGGCCTTACCTAGAGTCCCTTTCCCTGGCCTCGGTTCCCTCTTCGATACTGCCAAGTGATGAATGCTCATCGGCATCATGGAATTCCTCTTCGCCGTCGCTTGTCTGGAATTCGCCGGTTTTCTCGCTCTGGCTCCCTTTCTCTCTCTCGCTCTCTCTCTCTCTCTCTCTCTCTCTCTCTCTCCATCTCTCTCTCTGTCTCTCTCTCTATGTCTCTCTCTCCATCTCTCTCTCTGCCTCTCTCTCTGTCTCTCTCTCTCTCTCTGACTCTCCCTTCGCTCTCTCTCACTCTCTCTTACATGTCGTGTACATACCACAAAAGTCACCGTATTGTGTTCTTTGACGCGTCGCGGAGGGGCTGGTGTGAATGTCGAGATGGATTCGTTGCTGAAAATGGGAGATTTGCGTGGCGTAATCTATCGTCGAATGGCGGAATTCGTCGACAATTTTGGAATGTAAAATCGATTGATTTTTCAGACACCAACCTGGCCGACATCGGTGTTTCCTCGGTGGTTTCCGGTGATGCGGGCGTCGGAAAATCGACAATTTGGGTGTGGCCACCACGGCGTAACAATTCAACGATATCATCGATCGTTGAGAGAACGGCCAGTTTTGTTGCTCGAACCTCCAGGGCTTCTACCTGCAAGAAAAATTATTTTTCGGGCCTGAAAGGCTTTTTTAGTCTTTCGAACAACCAATTACGCCACTAAATTCCAGCGGAAACCCATGGCCGGGCATTAAAACGGACCTTGCCGACGTTGGTGCCGACTTCAATCGCTTTTTCGAGGGCCCCCAAGCGGGCCGCAATCAAATCACGGTAGCCCTGGAGGTCTGAGAGACGCGAGTCGACGATCGCCTCCTGAAAGCTGATGTTGCACTCCAATTTCCCATCTCTCACTCTCGCACTCTCCCTCTCGCTCTCTCGCTCTCCCTCTGACTCTCTGGCTCTCTATCTTCCTCTCTCTCACTCTCTCGCTCGCTCTCTCTGTCTCTCTGTCTCTCTGCTCTCCCTCATAATTTCTATCATGTGCAGGTGAATACCCCGCACTTCCAAAGCACCTCCCCCCGCTAATTCACTAGCTCCGGTCAAAAATTCCACATTTTTAAGACGCGAAAAATCCAAAAATTTTGCTTTTTCACTGTTCTCCACCTTAAAACGCTCATAACTCGATTTTCCCAAAGCTACAGTACCCTACAGTATACCAAAATTTAGCTCTCAAAGTGCAGAATAAAATGCCAGCCAGAAAAAGTCGAAAAATTCATGGAAATCCCAAAATATTTGAGGCCAAACCTTTTCGAGGGGCAGCCTCAGCTCGGTGGCCGACGATATTGACGGGTTCCTTGAATGTGTATGCGTGGTTGTAGAGGCACTCGAATAATCCGAGTCGACATGTTCTTTGGTGAGTGCTTTGAGCCATTGATCTCTCGCGACAGCATCTTCTGCCTGTAGATACCACACTATATCACCCGGGAAGCGAAGGATAAGATCCCGGCTGTTGTCCATGTGAGCCTGCAAAAACACACACGATGTTAAATGTTTGCAGCTCTCTCTCTCTCTCTCTCTCTCTCTCCCCATCTCTCTTTCGCTCTCACTCTCTCTCTCTCTCTCTCTCTCTCTTTCTCTATCGTCTCTCTCTCTCTCTCTCTCTCTCTCTCTCTAGCTCTATCTCACACTCACTCTCTCCCTCTCTCTTTCTCTCCCTCTCTCCGGTTCTGGACTATTAGCGGGGGGCGCCAAGGTAAGGCCCGTTTTAAAGGCCCGTTGCAGGCAAAAATACTGATCCCCAGCACCCACCTCAACGAGAACGTTCTTCATCGAGAATTGCCCCCGGCAATTCGCCCGATCGGCCTTCGAATAGAAATACGCGATCCGGCCGTTCCGAATCTCGAAATACCGATCCTGGTACCCGTTCATGAAATTCGTGTACTTCTTCAGCACCCCGCATTTTGGCATCCTGCAAAAAACGGTGATTTTATGGGGGGTTTTGATCGATTACCCTACGAAAATCACCTTGAGAATGGCTGGAAAGATGCCAAATTTTAAAATGGCTGCCAGAAAAAAACTTAAAGCGAAAAATTCAAAAAAAACCAGGCGTTCTAGACGCTTTTTAAATATGAAATCAGCCATTTTTCGGTTTTTCGGACCGATTACGTTATGAAAACAGTCCTTAGAAACAGCTAAAGACATGGCAAACGCCAACTGGACGCCAGAAAAGCACCTAAAACTAAAAAAAGTGGTAATTTTCGCATTTTAGACAATTTCAACGCTAAAATCGAGTAAATTGTGGCTTTTTTGATCGATGACGCGATGAAAACAAGGTCGTGGAAAGATTGGCGATTTGCCGAACGCTAAACTGGGTGTCAGAAAAGAGCCTAAAACTTTTTGAATAAGAAAATAGACATGAATTGAAGCCGATAATTGGGTGACTTTTGTGATGACTCACTTACCGTCCCTCAGCCGCCGTCGGCATCAATCGATCAAAAGGGGGTGGTGAATAATGAGAGCCGCCAGCACTTTCTGAAATATCCATCCACGAATGGAATTTGGCGAGCTAGCAGAGATTCAGTGAGGAATGGAGAGGTAGAGTGATAGAGAGAGAGCGTGTGAGAGAGCGAGAGAGAGAAAGAGTGAGAGTGAGAGAGAGTGTCAGAGTGATTCTTTGAGGTCGTTTCCGTAGCCAGAGACTATGGCAAAAACTGTCGGTGGCCAGGGTGTTGGGCACGGCGCTGATCTGTGTGTTGGGTAGAGGGCGAAAAAGAGAAGGGTCCGGAGGGGTCGACTTGGAGGCAAACAGAAAAGCCCGCAGGAGACTGGTTGGTACTAGTATACTTTGGGGGGGCCAAAAAATTTTTGCGGCCAAAATTTCTCATTTTGCACTATTTTGTTCAGTTTTTCATGCTGAATCGAATGCACATGTTTCCAGATTTTTTATTATTGCAATAAGATAAGAATTAGGCAACAATATCAATTACTAGCAGGGGTGGATCTCCTTTACATGCGACCAAAAGTTGAAGAATTGTTCGCATGCTTAGGATGACTTAGGCTTAAGCTTTGACCTAGGCTCAGGCTTAGGCTTAGGCTCAGGCTTTGGCTCCTGCTTTGGCTTTGGCTCAGGTTAGGCTTAGGCTTATCTGCCGCTTGTGCAACGGTATACTACTGAAAAACTATTGAAATTACTTGTGATATAAATAGTTAATTATTACTAGAAAACATGATATAAAAAAATCTGGAAGCACTTTCATTGGATTCAGCACGAAAAACTGAACAAAATAATCGAAAATGAGAAATTTTGGTCGAAAAATTTTTTTGGCCCCCCCAAAGTATACTAGTACCGACTGGTTTGACTCTGGAATGGCGAGAGAGAGAGAGAGAGAGAGAGAGAGAGAGAGAGAACTCCTCAAACAAGACGAGGTGCCATTTCGATCAGCGGTAGACAATACCCAAGGCGGACACGCCCTGATCTCGCGATCACTCGAGAAACGCGTGCTGAACTCTGCCCGGGGAAGGGCAGGCTAGCGGAGAGAATTTGGGGATAATGCGCCGTTACACGTATCTAGACAATATTTAACAAAACAGACGCAAATCGGTCTAGAAAACTTAACTATAATGGCAAAAAATGTTGCCGTTCAATTTTTGGCGTCTACACTACGGAATCCTGCTAATGACCTTTTTCAGAGGCCTACGGAGCGTTGCGTAGCTGAACAAACTTACCGAAAAATCATGAAAAGTTAAATTTTACAGTCTTAAACCTAGGTCTCTACAGTTTTTGCACCTTTTCCGCCCCGAATTTTCTTAGTTTTCTTGGCTTTTTCTTTGGATTTTAAAACCAGGGCCGTTGCCTATATTTTTAAAAATTTCTAACCGATATTAACAAGCTTATTGACAAGGAAAAGCCGGTGATTTTGAAGCAGTTCCGGTTGAGGGTGGGGTGAATGGCCTCACGTGTTGGAAAACGCGGGGCTCCTCTGGACACTGGGATGAGAGGACAACCGCCCGACCCCCCGAACACAATAGAAACACAAACAGCTGATAAAAAGCTTTGAAAAGCCTTGAAAATCTTCTTCTTCTCGTTAATTTTTGATTTCTCAGCTTCATGGGATGCTTCACCTTTTAACGTCCTCTTTCCGGTTCATATCAAAGAATTCTGGCTTTTTCCAGAGCGAGGAAACCCGTCGAATAACAGTGATATTTAAAGATTTTTGGCTTTTATAACTCTTAAAAAATGTTGGTGAAACAGCAAGCCTTCCCAGTACGTACGCTACACGTACGTTCTCGCGTAATTTTGCATGGCTTCGTAGCGCTTCTAGATAATAGGCATTTCTTGAAAATTTTGCTTGGAAGTGGATTTCGAAAGTCGCTATTTGTTGCCTTGCAGTCTCTGAGAAATCTTGCTAATCTTCATAGTTGACGCCTACTTTTGCGTACGGCCAATTTTGTGAAGTGCTCAACCCACCTACAAGAAGACATTTTTCAGCGTCGCTCGACTTTCGGGATAGGGCCAAGCCTGTCTTGTGCAGAATTTTGCGCTGATTTCGAGGATGGTGGCCAACTTGCAAGTTGGCAGAACCGCGATTGTTCAAAAGTTATGGACGTTTGAACCCCAGAAAACGATCGAAAGTACCCAATTCTGGGCATTTCACAGTCTCAAATCTTTCAGAACTTCCCGATATCGTGAATTTAGCAAATTTCATGGCCAGCTTCAGAATCAGCGCAAAATTCTGCACAAGATCGGCCAGGTGCAAAGTTGAATCCCCATTCCACCAAAAAAACCCTAATCCACTGACGATTTCCCTGCAATCCCCATAGATCACCAAATTCCTCCGCTTTTGCGGGCTGAACCCGTTGGACCCAGGTGTACTTTCGGTGCCCAATTTTTGCACTAGTTTTAGAACGATCCCCGTGGTCTACGGCTTCTATTTTAATTAACACTTTCTCAGGCACCCAGGGGGGATTTGGGGGCCCTTCTAATTGCACCTGCCCGCCTTTTTCCGCCACTTGCACCTGATTTTTGGGCATTCTGAATCATTTTTGGCTTTGGAAGGTCTTCTAGGAAAGTTTAGAAACGATCACAAGGCTAATTTTCAGCGTTTTTCAGCGTTATAAAACTTGATTTTGATAGGGGTTCTATCGCATTTTTTGGGGGCAACTTTTTTCTATACTTCCCGAAATACCTAGTAACGTATAGGAAGTGTTTTAATATTATTTGTAGTCAAATTTAACTAATTTTCGACTAGAAAAACTATCTAGAACTTTTGAAAAAGTCGAAATTTTGGTTGGAATCGGCGATTTTTCGTCGAAAAACGCTATTTTTTTTGTTTTTCATTTAAAATTTGTAAAGTTTTTACGTTTAGGAATCGTAAAAACGGTTTAGAAACATTTTCTCGATGATATTTTAAAAATAGGATGCTTAGAAAAAGTGCCCCATCCCCCGATAACGCGAAAGAACCTTGATACTTTTTCGGGCATTTCTCCTCAATTGGCGTTTATAGCTAAGTTTCAACGTCTTCCTCTTCAAACGCGCAACGATCCGTCCAGCGTGGCTGCACTGTCTTTCCTCTAGCTCTATCTAACCGTCAAATCTCGCCCGCCTCGCCCGGAATCCCTTCAGTTTCGGGGAGTTGTTGCTCCGTTTCTCTGCCGGCCAGTTGCACTCCACACCTTCTCCATTCCTCCCCTCCCATTGCCGTGGCCTTGTATTTATTCTGCGTTTATCTTTTCCTGTGTTCCGCCCGCGCCGCGATTGTGTTGTTATTTTGCGCCCCCACGTCGCGGAGCGCGAACTTTATGGAGTTGAACTCGATTTTGTGTGAAAACTGGGGTTCATCATGCTCTGGGCGATTTGGAATCATTTTTGCTTAGTTTTAAGGCGTTTTTGGGTCCAAATTTAGGCGAAAGTGTCGTGAAACTTCTCGGGAATTTGTTAGTCTTCGGATCTTCGTAATATCGCGAATGTTTTGTGGAAATTCGAAACCGTTTTTCCTTGTTTAGCCCATTTCCAGGTTCAAATTTGGGCCAAATCTTCATGAATTTAGTTGGCGATTTCCGGTGTTTTTAAACAAAGTTAGAAAACCACTAAAACTGGTGCTTTATCGGGTTTTTACAATGAGCAAGTGTTCTCCGAATTTCGCAAGCGCTTTTGCTTATTTTTAGCTCTTTTCCAGGCCCATATTTAGCCCAAAATCTCGTGATTTTCGTTGCCGGTTTCCTTCTTCCTTTTAAGGTACCTTCTTGGCGTCAAATTGCAACTTCTATGCAACCGTTTTTCAGGATGCCGTTCAACCTGGGCGACACGTTCCCCGATTTTGCGTGCGAGACGGACGAGGGCCCGATCACCAGCATTCACGAGTGGATGGAGGGTAAGATATCATTTTTTGGCTCTAAAAACTCATTTTTTGCAGACAAATGGCTGCTGCTGTTCTCCCACCCGGCCGACTTCACCCCCGTCTGCACCACCGAGCTCGCCATGATCTCCAAGGTGAGGGGGATTTCGGAGCTCTTTAAAAAATACAAAAAATCTAGATTTTTCACAAAAATGACCGGTTTTCGATCAGAATCAGTTTTTTTATGGTTTCCTACTAAAAATATTGTTAAATTTTCTGAAAACACGATTCAATTCGACGAAGGCTTTAACTAAAAAAATTTTAAGTTTTTTTGTTGTTTTTCGACATAAAAAAATAGTTAACTATTATTAAACCACTATTAAAACACTTATTATTTCGTTACCAGGCATTCCTGGACTTCTTGGAAAGAGTAGCCCCCCGATAATGCGAAAGAACCGAAAATTCTATGACCACTTTCCAGGCGGGCCCCCACTTTGCGCACCTGGGCGTCAAGCTGATGGCACTTTCCGTGGACGGGGCGGCGAGCCATGCCGATTGGAAGAAGGACATCCAGGCCGTCGCCAATATACCCGTAACTTTTCAGCGTCATTTTTCTACCCTATTTTTAGTCGATCCCGTTCCCGATCATCGCCGACGAGAAGCGCGACCTGGCCGTGCTGCTCGGCATGATGGACCCGGAGGAGAGGGATGCTCAGGTGCGGTTTGACGGCGATTTTCGGTACTGGGCTGTTACCGGGAGGAATCAAATGTTTCTATTATAATGGAATTTAGACAATTTCTATAGTTTTATATGGTTTTTGGGTATCAAACTTTCGAAAATTTGGAATTTCTGGTCAAAAAATGCATGAAATCAGCCAAAACGGCTCGAAATTTTTGCTTTTTCAAAATTTTTTAAAGATTTTTGTAAGTTCCAGCTATCAAACAGTATTAAAAACATTGTGAAAATACATAAGCCCCGCCCCCCGCTATCAGTCCAGTACCCGATTTTCTGAATCTCAACTTCTTGCAGGGCATGGCCGTGACGTGCCGAGCCGTGTTCCTCGTCGACCACGAGAAGAAGGTCAAGTTTGTGATGCTCTACCCGGCCACCACCGGACGCTCCATCGAGGAACTCTATCGGTACGTTTTTTTTTTGCATTAAAACTGTGTAAAATCGAATTCGGTTCTTTGGCATTATCAGCGGGAGGGGAGGTTAGATCCCAGAGTCCAGCAAGCCTAGTAACGTAATAGGGAGTGTTTTAATCGTGTTTTGGCAAGATTTAGCTTATTTAAAGTTCAAAACTAGCGGGAAAAATTAGAAAAATCTTTTAAAATTTGAAATTTTGATGGCAAAATCTATATTTTTTTGCAGTTTTGATGTAAATTTGAAAGGTTTTTACGCTTGGGAATAGTACAAAATAGTTTATTGGAAATACGTACGCTATTTATATCGGAAAAATTGCATCTTGGATAAAGTTCTTTTTTTATTCATTTAATTTTTAGTTTATTATTTTTATTGAGATTTTTGCATTTTATGAAAATTTGAAAGTTTTTTTATGTTTAGGAATAGTAAAAAAGCTTAGAAACACTATCTTATTCTAACAGAAAAATTGGATAATGCCCCCCCCCCCCCCCCGATAATGCTCAAGCACCTAAAATTCCGTTTTTGGTAAAATCATAACCTTTTTTAGCGTGACAGCCTCGATCCGGCTGACCTCGCAACATCCGCTGGCCACGCCGATGAACTGGACACCATATGGGGACAAGGTAGCGCTCGTGTCTTCGCCATGGTTCTATGCTTTTGTATTTTAGGTGATGGTCCAGCCGACGTTGCCCCTCGACGAGGCCAAGAAGCGCTACCCCAGCATCACCGTCAAGGAGGTCCCCAGTGGAAAGGTGCTTTTTTTGCTGTTTTAAATCAGAAGTGGTTGAAAATATAGTTTTCCTCTGATTTTAATTTTGGAGTTAAATTCGTGCGACATTTCGCTTAATTTGCTTTTTTAATTTCGCTATCTAAATTAATTGACTGTTTTCCTAAATTTCTAAAAATTTAACAAGTAGCACTATTTTAGTAAAATTTAGCTATATTTCAAGTGTAAGTGTAAAAACCATAAACACGTCGAAAAATCTGTATTTTTGTAAAATTTGACAATTTGATCCAGTTCTTAGGTTTGCGAATTGAAAAAAGGGTTTAAAAACCTTACTAGATTTTCTTGGCCAGAAATCCCGGATTTTAAGCGGAAAAATTTGATTTTTCGGCCAAAAATTTATTGTCGATCCTATTTTAGTTTTTAATGGCTTAATAGTTTTCTACTTAAAATATGGTTAAATATTAATAAAAACACTTTATTTTGCATATTTACACGTTTTAAAACGTCTAAAAACATTTTAAAACGTTTAAAAACATTTTAAAACGTATTTGACGCATTTTACGCGCCCCTTTTTGCAGCAATACATCCGGATGGTGGACATGCCCGAGGAGTACGTGCTGAAGAACAAGGTCTCCGCCGACGTCTGCAACGGCAAATGCCCGAAGAAGGGATAAGCGGGGCCCGGAATCGCCATCAAATTTCGGCCATTTCCCGTTTTTGCTGTGTTTCCCTATGATTTCTGATAAGGTCTGATTCCCTCCCCAGCCGTACCTCAATCCCCCCATCTACTGCTTCTCCTTTCGTCTAAATCCCCCCTCTCATTCCCAAATTTGCCAAAATTCGATAAATCTCAACCATTTTCCCGGGTAGCTGTAGTCACGATGAGATGAGCCCCTTGCCCTTTTTTAAATTTGACGTTTTCCTCCCCGACTTCTCCTTTTTTTGCGTATCTAGGTCATGACGGTGATATTCAGAATCTTGTGATGTTGTTATTGTGTTTGTCTCGATTTTAATGGTATCAGATTTCTCGATAAAGATATACCCCCACTGTAAGATTCACATTTTTGAGCCTGACCACCGATGAGCGGTAGATATACTGGAAAAATTGGCCAATTTGTGGGGGGAAAAAGTTGAGCCTGAGTTTTGCGTTCAAATCGTTGTAAAATCGCTTCAGGAATTCAGGATCACGGCGCGGATTCCGATTTTCCTAATTTATTGGTTTCGCCTTGGCATTTTTCGAAATTTGTTGTGCAAAATTACGAAATCAGCGCAGAATCCTCGGCAAGAATTGAAGATTTTTTGGGGCGAAAGGCTTGAAAAATCTAATCTTACGTTGAAATCGTTGTGAAAGTGAAACTTCAGGAGTCGAAAATCGCCGGCGAAGAGCCTCATTAATTTGTGAATTCCTAGTTTTCAAGCCCAGCGTGCTTTTCTAGGCGTTCATATGCCAATTTTGCGCTGAAATCGTCGTGAAAGCGCTCAGGAATAATTGTTTCGAGTTAGAATCTAGGTCAAAGGAAGTACTACATGCTCGCTCGTACTTTTCTAAGCGTTGTTGTGCGAAATTACGAAATCGGCGCAAAACTCTAAGTGGGAATTTACGATTTTTCTGTGGCACGAAGACTTGCAAAATCTAATCTTACGTTGAAATCGTTGTGAAAGTACTTCAGGTATCGAGGACGAAGCCCCATAAGCGCAGTGCGAATCCCTATTCCTCAATTACGGCGAGCTTTTCAAAGGATTGACGCCTCGATTGCCGAATTCAGCGCAAAATTCTAGGCAGGAATTTACTTTTTTCTCGTAGAAAGTGCCAAAAGTTAGAGAAAATGAATCGTTTATCTTGGGGTTCAGAGTTTTGTGGCGGGTTCATCAAAAATTGGTTTTAGAATTAGGCGAACCAGCGCAGAATTCAACGCGGTTTTTGGCCTCAAATCATGCCAAAAATTTGCAAAACGATTTTGGTGTTAAATCTGTTTTTCATGTCCGGCGAAATAAGCGCAAAATTTTACGCAGGAATGAGCCATTTTGGCCTAAAATCATGCCAAAATGCTGAAAAATTATTCGTTTTTCTTGATGCGTAGGTTCCAGTGTTTTCTCTCCTCGAAATTCGGTTTTTGGTGCCAAAAATCCACGCATTTTCAGCGCACCCTTCGACTGCCAGAAGGCGCCTTCGTGACGGGTGTTTCCGCCTCATTGCAGCGTCGCTTGATGCGTGACGTGACGGCAAATGGGGGACCGGTGAAGAAGGTGCTCATCGACATCCAACGCGTCGTCCAGCAACGCCATGCCAATGTCTTCTCCAATCATCACCTGCTCACCTTTCAGGTATCGTTTTTTGGCGGATCTTTTGCATTATCTGGGGGACCTAATCTCATCTATAAGTCCAGAAATGAGCCTTTCTAGTTACCTAAAAAAAGGGTGTTCTGACTATGTTTTTAGTATAATTTAACTATATTTAAAGTGGAAAACTATCCAAAAAATCTATTTTTTAATGTTTTTTTTACTTATACCAGTCTAGAAATGGCTAATAACTAAATAAGAAGGACTTTATGAGTGTTTTAGTGAAATTTAGCTATATTTAACGTAGAAAAACTATCTAAAAAATGTGGAAAATTGGAAAACAGAAAAATCTAGATTTTTCGGGTTTTTTTGTTTACTTTTCTGAGTCTGGAAATGGCCAGTAACTTAATAGGCAGTACGTTATTAGTGTTTTGGAAAATTTAACTGCATTTCCAGTGGGGAAAACTATCTAAAAACTTTTAAAAATGTTTGAAAAATCGAATTTTGACCAAAAATAGTATTTTGTTAATCGAAGTAGTGAGTTTTTTGAGTTTAGGAATAGTGAAAACAGTTTAGAAAGGCTACATCTATTTAGACTGGCAAAATTTTATCGTAATGAAACCCCCCCCCCCCCGATACTGCACAAGAACCGTTTTGGCCGGCTACCTAAGCCCGTTTTTCCAGGTGCTCTTGGCGTTGTCGGCGGTGGGTCGTGTGCTGTCCCTATCATCCACCCTCTTCGCCTTCCTCTCCCTCACCTCGATCGGATTCTACTCGTTGCAGGTGAGAATTGCAGGCTTTTTTACGCTCTTTTTTTGGATCTGGCGCTTCGCGACGGCGCCGTTTGTCGGCCGGAACATTGTGGAGACTGCGCTGACGGTGGCCTCACTCCATATCGGCGGCCAAATCGTCCACCAGAACAACACCCCCCCGGCAGCTCGTCAAGCATTTTGCAGTTGTTCAGGTATCAAATTGATTTTTGAAGGTTTTAAGATACATTTTAGACATTTTTGCAAAGGCTAAAACTTTTTTGTGACGTAGTATCTTTAAAAACGATTCTATATAACTTTTTAGCGCGAAATTTTAGTTTTTCTATGTGGTTTTCAGGTCATAACCTACGCGGTGGTCTCTCTCCTCTCCCTGTTCGCCTACATCTTCTTCGGCCACATCGGACTGCTATATTCCGAGCCGATGGCTGGTAAATTCCGCTTTTTCCGCTGAATTTTTCAATTTTTCAGGTCTTCTGCCCGTTGACATGGCGATGATGGTGTTGTTGAAGCAGTTCCTGCCCGATTCGATCGTCTTGACGACGCCGTTTGGCCGGTTGAAGTACACCCATCTTCCGTTGACGGTAAAATTTGAAATTTTGATCGAAATTGGTGATTTTTGGTCATATTTAGGCAAAAATTCTCAATTTTTGTAAAATTCGGTGCTGTTTCAGGGGGAAAAACTATTTAGAAAACATGGAAAAGGTTTAGCTTTTTTAGGTCGAAAAATCGATATTCTAGCCATTTTCATAAAATTTTATGATGGTGGTTCGTTTTTACGTTATCCATTGCACACTTTATCTATTTATTTTAGTCCATCTAATTATAGCCACGTCTTATAAACTATTTTAATAGTATTTTTAGTACAATTAGCTAGATTTCAATTGGCGAAACGATGTAAAAACTTAGAAAATGTTTAAAAATTTGAATTCTCGTCGAAAAGGAACCGTTTTTGCCGAAAAATCATTTACACATCACATCACAATATTTTTAATACTAGAATCACATTTCGTGGATTTTTTTTAGGTTAAGCGCCAGTTAAAACAGCGAAAGACACTTTTTATTTATATTAGGTGATTAGAAAATTTAACTTTTTATGCTAGGAAAAAAGCCCTCGTTCCAGATGGCCTCCTTGCTGACAGTGGCGGCTGTGATTCGCCTGGTCCACCCGATTGCCGCCCTCCAATCATTTGTCGCCATGCAGGTATCTCGGAAATCCAGGGCTAATCCCTTTTTTTCGTAGATCTCTTGGACGTATTTGCGCTTCATCCAGCCCCATTCCCTCGACGCAACTATTGGCGATCCATCCGAGCACTTCTCCTGGGCCAGCCTTTTCCCATCGGCCACCCGCCCAGCGATGGCCATTATTGGTGCGTTTCGAGCGAATTTCTGGTCAATTTACTGGATTTTTCGCATATTTAAAAACGTTAAAGTTTTAATTTTTATATTGGTAATTTTGTCATGCATTTTGGCGAAAAATAAAATTTTTTCGCTAAGTTTTATAATTTTTATTAGCTTTTTTTTCTTTCACGTCAATCTTGTGCATTTTGGAATGTTTTGATCAGTTTTTGCATGCTAGAAAGTTACAAAATTTATTTTCACTATTTTTGCAAAATGCGTAAATTTTTACTTTTTCTCCATTTTCATATATTTTGACGAAAAATCACATTTTCGACAATTTTTACAATTTTTTGTGAGTTTTTAGCTTAAATAAAGTGGAAAAATGTTGTCAAAATGGCTTAGTATTCATTATACGGCCGCGCTGAATTACTGCAGGAAAATTTAGGGGTTTTTTAGGTACAAAAACCGTTGAAAATTATTTAAATTTTCTAAAATTATGTTTTTCGAGAATTTGTGAAAAATGACGAAAAAGCCGCAAATTTTTTCTTCAAAACACGGAGGATAACAGATAATAACCCTCATTTTTTCAGGGAAGCTCTTCCACCGTACCCTCGTGCGTCTCGGTCTCTTTCGCCGCAAGATCCGCATCGTCGACGTGTCGAAAGTGGGCGGCAACAACGAGAATCTGCCCTCTTTTGAAGATCCCGAACGAGACGTCGAACGCCGGAAACGCCTCGCATTACAGGTCAGCTTGATTTTCTCGGGTTTATCTTGCTTTTTAGGCCCTAAAAGAGGGATTGTCGAGAAGAGACGGCCCCGAATCCCCTCCGCCAACTGCCATTGATGTCGATGTGATGACGGAATGATGAAAAACACTTTTCTCTCTCTCTCTCCCTCTCTCTCTCTCTCTCTCTCTCTCTGTCCTCTTTTCCTTTGTTCTCTATTCCCACCACGAATCCCTCTCCATGCCTTACATCATAATATTTCTGGTTGTGCCACTGTGATATATTGCCTTTTCCGACCCCCGTTCATGCGTGTTTTTTTTGTAAATAAATTATTAGTGAGATTTTGAGCGGTTAGAGACGAATCTTTGACGGCTTTTTTGCCAGAATTATTTTTCCGGCGGCTCCCCGCAATTTTACTGGCAGTTTGGCGTATTTGTTGCTGCATTCTCTGCGCGCCATACATCTATATTTCGTAAATATGGGCATCTATGCGGTTAGGTTTTTTAAGATTTACGTCATCTTGCTGAATTCCGAAAACTCTGAGCCCCCAAAAATTTGAACCCCAAAAAACTTGAATCCCGAAAATCGCAACCCCCGAAATACGCGCCAATGATTGGGCATTTATAGTGGCCGCAAGCCTCAGTATTCTCGAAAAAATTTTCGGGATTCCGGGTTTTCCGGAATACCATTTCGGGCGGCGGATTTTCGGGCGTAAACGCTGAATTCCATTGCACCCAATTTTTCGGCTCACCCAAAAACGCTGTGTTTCAGTCGTTTGATCTCGACCTCCCGTTGTGCTACAGCAACGTAAGGGATACCATAATACTCGCGAGCACAAGACGGACATTTTGGTGTACTTTACACCCCTGTGCAGAAACGGAGAGTCGAGATTTAAGCATTCTTTTGGCGCCGCTTCTGTACAAATTCTGGATGACTCACAAAATGTCTAAAATCAGCATGTCGAAATGTCAGGATTTCGAAATGTAGATGAGCAAATCTCGCGTAAAAACCTCCAAATTTTATTCAAAAAACCGTGTAATGATAGCGGATCACCAATTCTGTGTACAAATAACCCTTGTCACAGAAAATTCTAGCAAGTTTACTAGGAAATGAAAATAGCCCGCATTTTCTAACTTTCAATTTTCTGGCCTTGCTCACCGCGCTGGCAGCACGATATTGATCTATTTTCAGCCACCACCACTCGGGCCAAAATGATGGGCATGCCGCGAATGCCGATGCACGGTAGTTTCAGAATTTTTGCGGCTTAATCCCCCCATTTTCCAGGCGCCCCCGGGATGCCGAACCTGTTGCACATGACGTTCGAGAATCCACACTGGCCGCCCAACCACATCAACCCCGACAATTATCTCGAGTCGGTTTTTCTTAGTTTTTAATTTTAAATGGCATTCTTGTTTTTTTCTAAATCCTAAAAAATTTTAAAAAACCGTTTTCAGGTATTTTGCAGCCTATTTCCTAATTTTTCCTAATCAAAATCCGTTTTTCAGTTATTTCTGCATCCAAGAGAACCCATTCTACGAGAAGGAGAGCAACAACCAACAAGCACGCATGCAGAGTGCCGCGATGCGCGTCGAAGAAGTCTTACCGTCAGTTGGAACATTACTGGCTGAAATTTCTCTTTTTTTTTAGGAATATGACGGGTATCCAGTACGTCAAGTGGAAAGCCGCGCCGCCCCTCTACATTGTCTGCAAACAGCATCGCTACAGCCCCACACAAGGTACCTTCGAATTCGGAAAAAACTGGCCGGTCTGGTGATGAAAGATAAATTATTAGGCTCTTTTTCATTATCGGGGGAGGGGGCTTTCCACTTTACGTACTGGATACCGGTCATATTCCGAAAAAAACAAGAAATAACATATGAATTAGTTGTAATAGAAAGAGAAAGATCCCACTGCAAGCAGGGGAGATAAAACTAGCCGAAGCCCGCGTCTAGCGAAGTTTCTTACTATCCCTAAAATTACAAACTTTACAAAATTGCATTAAAAATGCGAAAAAAAATAGATTTGTTCGATCAAAATTGGCCGATTTTTGACCAAAATTACGATAGGGCTGAAAAACCAGAACAAAACCAGAAGAAAAAGCAAAAAATGACAAAAAATTTAAAGTTGAAAACGTTTTTATGCTTTTTTTTCGCCGAATGACCGAAGAACGGCGGAACGCAAAAACGAATTTCGGTGTTTATCGCCTCTCTTTTTTTCAGTGACGCCAGTGGCCTACTACTACATTGTGAATGGGGTCATCTACCAGGCGCCCGACCTCTACTCGTACACACAATCACGACTCCTCAGTGCCGCCGACAGTCTTCGCAAGGGATTCGATGAGGCCATGAAATACGCCAGGTATCGCTGATTTTCAAGCGCTCTTTGGTACTGCACTGTTAGCGGGGGGGGGCTTTTGGCGGGGAAGCTTTTTTTGAAGCAATTCCTTGGCGAAATACAAAACTATTCTCATTTTTAGATTTTTTGGATTTAAAACTCTTCAAAATCTTGAAAATTCATTTTTTTTTGTGAAAAAGTATGAAAATCTGAAAAAAGGTAAAAATTTGAGGATTTTCAGCGTTTAAAAATATTTTTTAGAAATTTCTAGCAATCAAAAACTACTAAAAATTCTATAAAAATAGATTATCGATTTTGAAAAGGTTGAAAAATTACATTTTTTAAAAAAAATGAAAATTAGGTTCCTTTTGCTAAAAATCCCCCCCCCCCCGCTAACAGACCAGTCCCATTTTTTGAAACATTATCTTTTCCAGGTACAACGTTGCCAAGGGCTACTACTGGGATTTCAAGGGAGCCTCGGCGAGTCAGGGCAAAGATGATGAAGCACAAGAAGAAAAGGAGAAGCCCCAGCAGGCACGCTCCACCAATTTCCAGAATCATCGCACGGACGCGCTGCTCAAGCTGCTCTTCGACCAGGTATAACGCTAATTTTGAGACTTGTATCTGCTTTTTTTCAGTTTCCGCCCGCATCCGGTCTCGAAATAGGGCCCCGGCCGGAAGAGCAGAGAGATGTCGACAGGATGGAGGTGAGAGTTCTTCTTGTAATTCTGGCTTCGGAGCTTTTGCATTATCGGGGGGGGGAGGCGAATTTTTGTCTTGTAAGTCCAGAATTGCCTAGTAAGATAATAGCAAGAATTTTAAATTAGAGTTAAAATTGAATTTTTAGAGTTGAAATATTGATCGAAAATCGGCCATTTTGGTCGAAAATCGAGATTTTTTTGTAGTTTTACATTTACTAAATGGTTTAGGATTAGTAAAAAACCGTTTAGGAGCGCTAGAAAAAAAAATCGAGAAAATCTAGAAAAAATATATTGATATAGAAAAACTACACCTTAGAAGAAAACTGTCCCCCCGATAATGCAAAAGAACCCTTATTTTTAGGTCTTTGATATGAATTATACTAATTATAAGCCATTTAAATTGCCAAATTTCAGGTGGATGGAAACGTGGAGAAGAATGGCCCCTCGTCCTCCTCCTCCTCTTCAGCCCCACCCACCCAAATGCAACCCCCGCCGGCCCGTTGATCTCATTTTTCACGTCTCATTCGAATTTTTTGGCCTCAAATTGTCATCCAAATTTTACGAGTATTACTTTCCAAATTGTTCTCTTCCTTTTCCTGTATTTTCTCGATCTTTCGATTTATCTTTTCCACTCATTTCTGATTTAACTATCCCTAATACAATTTTCCGGTATAAATTGCCATTTTCTTGATGGATAAATCGCTTCCAAAAAACCTCGCTACATTTTTCGATTAATATTTTGTAAAAACCGATTCAATTTTGCACAAAATGAGCCGGAAATTTGCCGTTTCTGTATTTTCTAGACAATTCTAGTTGTATTTTTGACTCATTTCTCGTTTAACTATTCAAAATTGGCGATTTTGCGCTATAAATTGCGATTTTCTTGATGGATAAAGCGTTTTCAATTGAAGCCGCGGCGTTTCTCGATTAATATTTTGTAAAAACCGATTGAATTTTGCGAGAAATGATCAAAAAATTTTCCATCTCGCGCTCTTTCCGCGCGGCTACTCTTGGTGTCGCCCCTCTTTCCATGGCGTAATCGATTGGGGGTGGCGGTGATGGCGGTGTTTGTTTCAGGGTGAACGATGCGCGAATGAGGGGCTATCGCCCGCTTTTTGGCCATTTTCGATGGACGGCGGCGCGGCGGAGGGTTGGGTACGTTTTTTGGAGCGTAGAATGGGTATTATGACGGTTTATTTGAGCTACATTTGAAGTTTTTTTACGAGGGTAGCAAGTGGAGATTTTTTGAGGAATGGGGGCAGGCTAGCAGAGATTATTTGAAGACATGGAAAGGGGCAGGCTAGCAGAGATCCTTCAGGAATTTAAATAATTTTTAATACCTTAATTGTTCCACTTTTTCAGCGCCACCTTGGCCGTCGTTTTCCTGTTGCTGCTGGTGTTTTTGGAGACGTGGACGGGCTGTGGCTATGGTCTCTACATGGGATATTATCGATTATCCGTCACCGTTCAGCCGCCACCGATTACGCCAGGTAATTTTTGGCAAAGAATCTCTGCTAGCCTGCCCTTTTCCAGGTGTCCACCATATCCAACTTGTCGTCGTCGTGAAGAACGGGGACATGACACAATACGCCCTTGCTCAACAAACGATGCGCTGCTACGCGCAAATGCATAATTACACCCTGCATACGGTACGTTTTCCCTAATGGTCTTTGCTCGCTGCCCTCTTTTTTCGATTTTTGTAAAATCTATTTTTAGATCCGGCTCGACGAGGAGGCCGAGCTGGCAGCAAAATGTGGACCTCATCAAGATGTGGGTTTCGCGGGGCCACGCCCCTTTCCTCTAAAAATCTCTGCTAGTTGCCTGGTGCTCGCGCTCAAGCCACGCCCCTTTTCCGCGAGAAACTCTGCTAGTCTCGATTTTTAGGCGTTTTTGGTTCCCTTCTAGCTATTTCCGCACATGGTCGCTGCTAGCTTGCCCAAATTGTTGAAAATTTGTAAAAAAATAAAAATCTTCAAAGCGGTGCAAAAAATTCTGCAAAATCTCTGCTAGCTTGCCCCAGTTTGTCGGTCTGTCTGTCTGTCTGTCTCTCTCTCTCTCTCTCGCCCTAATTGTCTCTCTATTTTCAGTTCATGTTCCTCCGACACTGTCTGCTCGCCTACAAAATGGAGGAATGGCCGACAGATGAATGGATTCTTTTCCTCGACGCTGATATTGGGGTTCGTGTTTTCGGAGGGGGCAGACTGGCAAAGATTCTTTGAGGAATCGCGGCTTATCCCACCCCCTTTTTCAGGTTGTCAACCCGGCGCACCGTGTCGAAGAGTACCTGCCCTCCTCGAACTCGACGTGGCTCCGTTTCTACAGCCGTATCATGAATCATGAGCTGATGGCGGGTAGCTATTTGATTAGGTGAGGTAAATGGAGTTTTTTGGTGTACTTTGTAGTTTTAGGAATAATGCAAAAGCGCGGAAATTCCTCCGTTTTTGGGCCGACTACGAGAAGCGACTGCCGGCCAGCTTTCACGGGTCTGACAATGGGGCGATACATGTGGGTGTTTCTCTCTCGCTCTCTCTCGCTCTCTCTCTCTCTCTCTCTCTCTCTCTCTCTCTCTTTCTCTCTCACTCTGTCTCACGCTCTCTCTGTCTCTGTCTCGCTCTCTCTGTCTCTCTCTCTCTCTCTCTCTCTCTCTCTCTCTCACTGTTTCTGTCTCTTTCTCTCTCTCCCGCCCTCTCTCTTCCTCAAGGAATCTCTGCTAGCCTGCCCTGTTTCGGTCCTTCTCTGTTAACGGGGGGGAGGGGATAATTTTTCTAAGTAATTCCGTAGGGCACTATGACCAAATTCAAACCATTTTATCGTACATTTAGAAATCAAACCTTAAAAATTTTCGTATTTGAAATAAAACATTTTCCATTTTTTGTCTTTTCGTAAAAATTATCAAAAGTCGCAAAAATTTAAAATTTTCGATTTTTCAATTTTTTTTTGTAATTATTTTTTAATAGCTTGCTAGCAGTGAAAAACTACTGAAAAACACTACAAAAATACCCGCTAAATAGACCGCCCCCTTTTCCAGGCGGTCATTCCCGAATGGTCCCATCCGAATCTCACCGATCAGCGGGCCAACTGTCGTCATCTTTGGGAAATCTCGAGGTACCGTACCCCTTCCCAGCCCCTTAAATGCATCCCTTTTTTCCAGTGACTTCTCTACGCTCTCCGATTTCACTGTGTGCTCCCGCGCCCTCATGGCCAAATATCCGCCCCAGGTATGTGAGATTTTTGAGCGGATGGCAAGCTAGCAGCAACAATTTGTGGAAATTTCGTCGATCTAGCACAAAGCGAACTAGCAGAGAAAATTGAGGAAGGGTAACCCCGAATTTCCGCAAAAATCGCTGCTAACTGCCCACATCTTCCTGAAGAATCGCTGCTAGCTACCGGAAATTCCCAAAGAATCGCTGCTAGCTACCGCAAATTCCCAAAGAAACGTTGCTAGCCACCCAAACTTCCTAAAAAATCTCTGCTAGCTGCCCTAATTTTTCTGTTTTCAGGGCATCGACCTACTGCCAAAAGGGCGTCACAGCTGGTCCCGCGACGGCTGGCTCACCTCGAATATGTGGAGTGAAGTGGATTTCATGTTTCATGGATGGCAGTTAAGGTATCCCCGTGGTTTTTGAGGGCTGTTAACGACGATCTCCAGACGTCAGGGCCCTCGTGGATTCGCCGCCTGGTATCCACCAATCGTTTCTGACGGAAGAGAATGGCCACCGTGTACAGGTCCGTCGTTTTAAAGGGGATTCGGAAGGGAGGGGCACGGCGGGCTAGCAGTGTTTCTTTAGGAAGTCGCACTTGGCGGAGATTCTTGAGGATTTTAAAGGGGGCGTGACACCTAGGTTTTCGGTTAATCGCCTCGATTTTCAGCCGCCACCGGCCATCTTCACTGGCGATACAAGGACACGTTTATCAAATCAAGGCTTCAGACGGATCGCCTTATTGAGAAGTGAGTCTCTCTCTCTGTCTCTCTCTCTCGCTCTCTCTCTCTCGCTCTCTCTCTCTCACTTTCTCTCGCTCTCTCTCTCGCTGTTTCTCTCGCTCTCTCTCTCTTTCTCTGGCTCTCTCTCTCTCTCTCTCTCTCTCCAATCCCTCTCTTTTTCAGGGTCATCTCCTCCCAACACCAAGAATACAACACCCGCCTCTCCCGCCTCACCCTTCAAAACTTTATCGCCCCCTAATCCGCGCCCCCTCATTCCGCAAATTGTCTCTGCCAGCCTGCCCCCATTCTCTCATTTTCCCATTCATCAATTTGTATATCCTATGCGTTCAAATGTCGACCGGGTCTCGCCGTGTGGTGCTTGCCATTCTTCCCTTCATATCATTTTTACAATACCATGCATTTTTCGCCGAATAAATTGAGCATTTCTGGGTAATGGTCGCTTAACGGGGGGGGGGATCAAATTTCTCCCTGGTAATTCCGAACGGCCATATAACGAATCGAAGAGACGTCTTTACGAGAGCTTTCGATAGATACTATACTCTGCCATACCCCCAGGGGGTATACCCCCCATGGGGGTACAAAAGGGGTACGAGGTGGGGGTACAAAGGGGGTACGGGGTGGGGGTACAAAGGGGTACCCCACCCCCTACCCCACCCCCTACCCCCACCCCCCCAGCAACCCAACAGATTTTTCCAGTTACCTCCCACACATACCACATATCGGTGGCTCGCAAAAAATTCAGGAAGAAATGACGAAGTCCGCCGGAATTTCACCAAGGCATTTAATAAAATACGAAACTTGAAGTAAACATTTTTCAAATTTTTGTGATTTTTTCCACTTAAAACATGTCTGAATTTTACTAAAAACATTATTGAAACTCTTACTATAACGTTACCAGGGGTTTCTGGGTTTATTTCAAAAAGATTCGTCCGCCGATAAACTTTCAACTTAAAAAAAATGTTTAGTTCAAATTTGGTATTTTATTAACTGCCTTGATACAATTCCAGCTGACTTCGTCCTTTCTTGTTGTATTTTTGCGATCCACCGACATGTGCTATATGTGGGAGGTCGCTAGAGAAAAATTTTCTGTGCTACTGGGGGGGGTACCCCCATTTGTACCCCCACCCGTACCCCCTTTGTACCCCCACCCCGTACCCCCTTTGTACCCCCACCTCGTACCCCTTTTGTACCCCCATGGGGGGTATACCCCCTGGGGGTATGGCAGAGTATAATAGATACGTAATTCGTAAAAATCGGACAGTTCTGTATTAGGGTTGTTACGTTATGTAACGCCTGGCTCTCTCTCTCCCACTCTCTCTCACCCTCTCTCTCTCTCTCTCTCTCTCTCTCTCTCTCTCTCTCTCTCTCTCTCTGTCTCTCTCTCTCACCCACTCTCGCTCTCTTTCTCTCTCTATCTCTCTCCCCCACTCTCTTTCTCCCCCACTCTCTCTCTCTCTCTCTCTCTCTCCCACTCTCTCTCCACACTCGTTTCCGGTTCGTCAGATATTTGCAGTGCAAATCCGTTTCCAAATCTGCTCTCTCTCTCTCTCTCTCTCTCTCTCTCCCCCACTCTCTCTCTCTCTGTGACCTTTCACTAAAACTAGCAAAGCAATCAAGCTTATTTCGAAACGCGGCGTTTGAGAGAGAGAGAGAGCGAGAGAGAGAGTGAGAGAGAGAAGGAGAGAGAGCGAGAGAGAGAGAGATTTAGCATGGAATCACTCGCAAGAGTGACCAATTGGGTGGTCATTACGCCATGAAATCGTAGCGCTTTTCAATCTCTTCTCAAAAAATCATCATTTATACAAACGAAATAACGAAAAAACGGAAACAGCAACAATCACAAAAAACCCTGGAAGTCGGAGTGATTTTAGCGGGTGAAAGACCGGGTAGGAGGAGAAGTTTGCTGGTCTGTTAACGGGGGGGGGGGGGGTTGAGCGTGAGGCCAAACCCCCCCCCCTGCTAACGAACCAGCACCGGAAAACAAGCACAATTTTTAGAATGAGAAAAGAAAATAGGGAAAATCGAGCGAATAAAACCGGATCGGCCGCGATAAACTTTTTGGGCTGATTGTTTTGATCGAAAATTGCAAAAAGCGGTTGTTTTGGCAAAATTCCGAGAAAATGGGATTAAATGGCGTGTACGAATACACGCGGAAAACCCGGAAAATGTCGATTTTGCGGCCGAAAAACTCGAAAATTAAAAAAACGTTTGGTCTGCTCAAAAAATCAATTTTTGCGCTCAATAAACTGAAATTTTGCTGTCACTGGCCCTTTAACTTAGTTGTGATAAAAAATGCGTTTTCTGCGGTGCGTCACGCGTTTTTGGGGCGCGGCGCGTCGAGTTGGCGCTTTTCGAAGACTCGCCGCGGGCGTGGGTCCTGCAGTAGATTGAATGGGATGTAGATGGAGATGGCGCCGAGGGCCAATCCGCCAATGACGTCCGTCGGAAAGTGCCAACTGTCCGTCACCCGCGTCACCAACACCGTCATCCACCTGAACCACCGTTTATAACGCATTTTTCGGGTCAAAAATCGGGCGAAATGGCATAAAATTGGATAGAAAACGGAGGGCAGGCTAACAGAGGCCGCTTGGAATGCCAAACTGTAAACTGCCAGCCAGTTTAGCGGTTGGCAGGCTAGCAGGGATCATTTAGGAACGAAAGCGCCGGCAAAAGCTACCCGAAAACACCGGATTCGAGCCCAGTTTTTCTGGGCAAGCTAGCAGAGACCATTTGGGGAATGCCAAACTGTAATCTCACAGCCAGTCAGGTGAATGGTCAACCGGCAGGGACCATTTGTGGAAATTTTGAGCCCGGGGAAGGCTAGCAAAAACCATTCGACATGCCACCCACCATAATGCCAGCACCGGCAATAGTATTGTTCTGGCCGTCCGAATGGAGGTGGCTGTGGGGAGGGCCGTCGATAGGCGTCGCGTGTACACGACGAAATAGAAGAAGACGAACGAGGCGGCCGAGGAGTGGCCTGGAAATTGGCGGTTCGACGTGTGCCCCGGTCCCTTTAAGGCTTGGCAAAGCGAGCGAGCGCGTGCCGTTGCGTAGCGTGTAGCGCAAAGTTTTAGTCAGCTTTAATTTAATTTAAAGCAGAAAAACTTGCAAAAAAAGTTAGCAAAATGTTGGAAAAAGTCGAAAAAATCCATTTTTCGACCTAAATTAAATTTTTTGATTAAAATTTGTATAGTTTTTGTGCTCAGGAATAGTTAAAAACAATTTAGAAACGCATCCGAAATATTCTCGGGGCGAAAACGATATTTTGAGTGGGCGGCTATTACGTGTCGTAATGTGTTGTAAGGCACCCAATCTCTCGATCTCTCGGCGATTCTCCCTTCAATTTTCATAATTAAAAAGCCTAGAACGATCAAAATTTTCTGAGGATTCCAGAAATAACGGCAGAATTTTGAAATTCAAGCGTTTTCGCTTCCAAACAGGGGCAAAAGATCATGCGGCGCGGTCGCGTTGCGGTCCCATCTGACTATTTGCCAGGGATCAAGGCTGGGGGCCGTGGACCAGATTTCCAGTCCCTTTAAAACGACGCACCTGAGGGGAATGAGGTGCGAGAGACGCGTACGCGATGCTCCGTCGCTTTACAGTAGATTTGGGGGATGTAGGCGGAGGGGTCGGTCGAGCAGTCCATTCGAGACCAATCTGGATCACAGGCCGAGAGGAAGTGAGGACGGAGACGGCCGAAATAACACTGAAATGGAGAGATAGAAAGAGAGAGAGAGAGAGAGAGAGAGAGAGAGAGAGAGCGAGGAGAGAGAGTGAGAGCGAGCGAGAGAGAGAAAGAAATAGAGATAGAGAGAGAGAGAGATAGAGAGAGAGTGAGAGATAGGGAGAGACGCAGACAGACCGACTCGGGCAAGCTAGCAGAGAATTTGTCGAATTTTTACACTTTTTATAAAGATTTCTATGCAAATTTCAAAAATTTAGGCAAACCAGCAGCGGCCATATGCGGAAATTAGCTAGACAAAGACGAAAAAAACGCTTAAAATCGACAGACAGACAGACAACTCGCTTGAAAACCCGCCCCAGAACGCCAACGTACCTTAAAAAATTCCATAAAAATCGTGCACACGGTATATGCGAGAAGATACTCGCAATACTCGAGGGATATGGAACGGTAGAGCTTGGCGAGACGATTCGCACCATTCGAATTACGGTAGAAAAGGGACTCGAACAAGCCGATACCCAATACTGGCGCCACAAGAGTGATCAGCAGAAGGTGCCTGCAAATATTTTTTATGCCTATTGTAGATATATTCTGATATCTTTATAGCGTTTTTAATAATTTTTAATTGCAAGAAAATCATAAAAATTTTCCTAAAATTTTGAAAAAAATCGATATTTTTGATTTTTTTTTGGTCATTTTTCATACATTTTTGCCCAAAAAGTCAAATTTCGAATGTTTTCTGATTTTTGTAAGTTTTTATGATTTAAAACCATGTATAGGACGATAATGATGATTTATCTGTCATTTTAGGGTCGTACGGAATTGCTAGGGGAAAAATCCGTCCCCCCCGTTAACAGAAAGCCCTAAATTCCTCGAAGAATCTCTGCTAGCCACCCCCCCGCGGCCTCCAAGCTTTCAACTGACTGACAGTCAAGCGTTTCGCACCACCTTTCGGCCAAAATTCCGTAAATTCGCGCTGCTAGCCTGCCCCCCCATCCAATCGATTACGCCATTAAAATGTCGGTCCTCGAAAAAGCGGCGAATTTCGAGTTAATTGGCTCTTTTCGCCCGCTTGCCACCCAATTTCCGCAAAAACTCGCTGCTAGACTGCCCCCATCCCGGCCTCCAAGCTTTCAGCTGGCTACCAGTCAAGCGTTTCGCACCACCTTTGGGCCAAAATTCCGCAAATGCTCGCTGCTAGCCTGCTCCCAACGAATCGATTACGCCACCAAAAAGGCCTTGCAAACCTTGTGGTGACGGTGTTGTGCAGAAATGGCCCTCGTATCGACGTATCGTTGCAGTAGAATCCCCTTTCGTACGGACGGACGGCATATCCGGCAAATAGATAGAAGATGGAGATGCCCAACGAGATGACGATCGCCACGTCCAGCAGTCCAAGCCCCAATCCACGCCCCACCGTACGCCAGTACCTACAAAAAACGACGGTTTTGGCTCTGTTTCGTTAGCGGGGGGGAGGGATTTTGCTGATGATAGTTTTAATATCGTCTTTAATGAAATTTACCCATATTTCAAGCGGAAAAACAATAAAACAGCGCTCAGAAAATGCTTTAGGAAAAATTTTGGTGAAAAATCGGCCAGTTTTGCTCGAAAAATCAATATTTTTCGCATTTTTTTACGATTAGGGATCGTGAAAAAGGGTGGAAAAGCACCTTTACAACAAAACTTTACCATCACGGTTGAAAAATACAAAAAAAAATGATTTTCCGCGGACTATACGCAGATTTAGCCCAAAATTCTAATTAGGCATGTTTTAATTTTTCGAACTGGTTTCAGGGTTTAAATCTAGCTAAGTTTTATCAAAACCCTATTAAAATACGTAAGATAACATTACCAACCATTTATGGACTTTTAAAAGTACAAAAATTTTATGAGGAAATTTGGCCCCGGGGATTCGCGAAAGGCCGAAGCGCCAGAAAATCGAAATTAAAAACTTTTCTCGCCTACCCCCCGTCGTTCGGTCTGCATGAGACGCCCGCTGAACGTCATCCGATGAAGCGCCATCTCTGAAAAATTGCGTTTAAAGTTTGCCACTAGAGTTGTTAACGGGTAATTACCCGGGTACCCGCCGGGTAATTGATTGATTTAGAGAACAGGGAGAGAGGGGAGAGGGGCAGGCATTCTCTCTCTGCTCCCTCCCCTCTCTCCCTGTTCCCTAAATCAATCAATTACCCGCCGGGTACCCGGGTAATTACCCGTTAACAACTCTATTTGCCACCATATTAAAACGAAATCTCGAAGGCAGGGGTTCGCGAAAAACATCGATCCCGGGCCCGAAAACAACTTTTTCAGCCCTTCTGCCGGCCAGTTAATGATTATTCATGAAATATAGACATTATTAGTAGCTAGAAAGCTATCATCAAAGTTTAGCAAGTTTAAAAAGTGGCGACCCGGGTGGCTGGGCAGTGTAAAGCGCCATTTTAAGGCCAAAATCGACGCGAACTGTACTAGGAGCAGCTGTACTTTTCGCCCGCCCATAAATATGCGATACGGAAGCGGGGCAGGTGACCGTTTCGACCGGCTTTTATCGCCATTTCCGGGGGGTGGCCGATTGCCCGATTATGGGCATTGGGGGGTGGTGGTGGGCGGGTATAAGGGGACCTGGTGACAGTACCCCGGCCGCCTCCTTCTCTGCCTCTCTCCAATTTCTGTGTTCTCTGCCCCTCCGGGTGCGCGCCTTTCGAAGCGCCCGCTGATATGGCCGAACGCCAAGAATTTTTTTTGAAAATTTAAATTATTTAACTTATTTTTAATTCTACTTAATTTAATAGATCTAATGTAACGCGAATTACTGCGATTTTCGGTAGCTGTTTTTGGCATTATCGGGGACCAGCTTTTTTTGCTAAGGATCTAGTTTCTGAGCTTTTTTACATTCCCCACAGTTTGGCTATTCCTGAAATTAAAGGCTTTGCCACTTTTAATGTAAAAAGAATACAGCAACGATCGATCTTTCGACCAAACATCCGTTTTTACCTAAATGTCGAGTTTTTGTTCAGTGCTCTAGTTGAAATGCAGTTTTAATTTCATTCCTATGTCTATGTCCTATGTTTTAATCTCATCAAAAACATGACTCTTGCCCAATTTATCCTAGACTTCTGCCCTTTTACTTGACGCAGGCCCCAGGTTGGCCTCTTTGCATACGGCTTTGAAAACGAGCCAACTTCGCGCGACGGCGGCAATCAATCCGAGGGCGGCAATTCGTTATTTTGTGCAGATGCCGACGGGCCGACCCCCGGGTCTAGGCAATTGGTGCATCGCCAAACATTTGAGGCTACAAAGAGCCAGATAGCCGTTAGGTTTCACATGGAAACACCGCTCATTTTATCCGCCTTGATTTGACCACCGGACTTGCCGAGCCGCCCATATACTGCCTAACTACCGTTTAAACTACCCTCAAAATGATATTTTCTAGCAGGCCGGCGGGCAATTTAAACGATTATTTGAGAGTTTTCTGACTTTTGAAAGCTTTATCGGCGGCGATTTCGGGTTATAACGCGGATTTTAACGTTCCAGGAGTTTTGCCTGGTTTTGTGGGTGATTTATCGCATTCTTATACTCGATCCATCCCTAGAAAGTCGTTCTTGAATTCCCGTTTTCCCTTTTTCCTTTTCTCGCCATGAAACTAATAATTCGCATACCTTTACTTTTTTGCAGATGGCCGACGAGGATCCGATTCTCGATGGTTTCCCGATCTCTCAACTTCGGGTCGTCGATCTGCGCGAGCATCTCGAGAAGCGCGGCCTCGACAAGAAGGGCAACAAGAAGGAGCTGGCCGATCGCTTGAAGGAGGTAATTAGATTCCCCGCAGTTTTGGCACCCTTTTTGACGTGATTTCGAAGCTCGCGGCGGTTTTCTAGTCAAAATCTACAGTTGTTGACCGCAAAAAGCTCATTAAAACGCTTTTTTTTTCAGTTCATCCTGGCCAACGAGTCGAGCGCGGCGACGCCCGTCGAAGCGGAGCCAAATGTGGCGCCGGCTGCCACCGCGACCGCCGCCGGCGAGCATCGCAAGTCCAAATCGCCCGAGAAGTCGCCAAGCAAGTCTGCTTCCGGGGTAGGAGATTTTGTCTATTTTTCCTGGTAACGGCTGGCTTATCTTAATTTTTCCTAAATTCATTTTCCTAAAATGTGTTATGTGAATAGAGATGTATAAAAACATCAAGAAAAGGCAAAATGCTGCCATTTTTGGTTATTAAAATTGTTATTTGGCTTTTTTTAAAACTTTTTCCTGCTTTTTTCACTTCAAATATAGCTAAATCCGGGCTAAACGCACCACTAAAATTTTTCCCATTGCATTACTAGGCATATCTGAATTTTGTTAGAAGAAAATGTTCGATTTCGTCATGCAAAATACTAAAAAAATTGGGCTTTTTCGATATTTGCCGGATTAGGAAAATGATTTTTCGAAAAATGAATGCAAGAAATTGGCAGTAATTATTCGCTGTTTAGTCTCCCGGCAAGGGCAACCCGCTACTGGCAATGTACATGGCCAAGCAACAGGAGATGATCGCCGAGGCGGAGGCCGGTAAGGAAACGCGTTTCAACCCCCAACCCATCTTTTTTTTTCCAGCCAAGCGCAAGAGCGTCGACAGCGGTGAGGCATCGAAGGAGACTGATGACCCCGCTGCCGGAGATGTAAGCAGTATTCAGCTTCTCGCCGCCCATAAAACATCGCCGATCGGTTCTTTCGCATTATCGGGGGGATTTTTCAAGGAAGTTTCTACACTTTTTGCTATTGCTAAGCCTAAAAACTTTACAAATTTTGATTAAAAATATCGATTTTCGAGCAAAAAATGCGAATTTTTGGCCGGACATTGAAATCAACATTTTTCTAGGGTTTTTTTGCTTGTGTCTCTACTTAAAATATAGTTAAATTTACAAAAAAACACATCCGATAATGCAAAAGTTCGAAATCGTCTAACGAGCCACTTAAACGCAATTTTTGCAGGCCGAAAAGACGGTGATCAGCCCCGTCAAGTCGCAGCAGCCGAGCCAGGCCGCCGACGACGACGACGTGAAGGAGGACGAGCCCGAGCCCGAGGTGAAGAAGGGCAGAGGAAGGCCGAGCAATTCGAGGGGAAGGAAGGCGTCGGAGAGCCAGTCGCCGACTCGACGATCGTCCCGTGGCAGGGGAAGACCGCCGAAGAGCACCGGATCCCAGATGGTCGGTTTTAAAGGGCCTTTTGATGGCTAGAGGATTCCCGAGTTTTTTTGTATACACATTTTCGAAAGTGATTTTTCCGAAAATTCTTATTTTCGAAAATCAGTTTTCCGAAATCAGATTTCGAAAAATTTGCGTCCAGTATCAGTAGCAAATGGCCGCAAATGACAATGAATGCAAATTTTTCAAAATTGCGCTTTCGGAAAATTCGAAAATTCGAAAAATGTTTTTCAATAAAGTATTTTCGAAAATATGGTTTTCAAAAAATGATCCCCGCCCCTCGTAATCCATTACGCAATGGAAAGGCTTAATCTAACTCAGAGATTTTGCGTAAAGCGGCGTTTAATAAATTACTTGCCGCCAAACAACCCACCCTTTGTTTTCAGTCGCTCGAGCTGGACGAGGACGAGCCGACGGTCGACGCGCAGCAGCCCGTCATCAACAAGTCCGTTTTTCGACGCCCATCTGCGGTTCTTCCGATTTCCGTCGGGGCAGGGGGGGCAGCTGTTTTCTTGGGGTTGCATTTTTCAGATATAACTAGTGGCAGCGTTTCTAAATGGTTTTCAACTAGTCATCAGCGTGGCAATTTTACAAATTTTTATTCAAAAAATATCAAAAATATTGATTTTCCTTCCGAAATTACCGTTTTTGACCAAAATTTCGACTTTTTAAAGTTTTAGTTAGTTTCTATAGTTTAGATATGGCCAAAAATTTCGGGATTCTCGAGCGAATGGCCAAAACTTCTGGGGGACCGGCCGGAAGGCGTAGTCTGTAGCCGGTGCCGTGTCGTTGCATATTTGTCCCCCGGCCACCGACCGGCTCTCGTGCCATACAGGGCCCTCCGGCTTTTCCTCCCGGTTTCCCGGATTTTGGGCTTGATTTTTATGGGGGCTTTGAAGTTAGGAAAGTTCATTTAGAAGCCTTAAGTTTACGGTTCTTTCGCATTATCGGGGGGGGGGGTCGTTTTCCTAGGATTTTTAAACGTTAAATTTAAAGAATAAAAACGTGGAAGTGTTTCTAAGCGTTTTTACTGTTTTGAAACGCTTAGACTTGACTATTTTTTAGAAGATCAAAAAGATCTCGCTTTTGCCACAAAAATGGCCGATTTTTGCGCAAAATTCCGATTTTTTGGAGGTTTTAGACAAAAAACACTATTAAAATACTTTCGATTAGGTTACTAGGCATTTTAGCCTCGAACAAAAATTTCGGTCGTCTGGATAATGCAAAAAAAAGGATTAGAAGGTTTAATTTTTGTAAAATTTGTATTTTTAAAATTTTTACATTGAGCAGCAGATTTATTTATAGAACGGCCGTGACGCCGGAGCCGGAGATGGCGGAGAAGGAGCCAGAGGTTGCCGAGAAGGAGCACGAGAAAGAGTAAGGCACCGAACCGAGTTTCTACTCTCTTTTTTTTCTAGGCCTTCCCCGCCTGTGGTTGAACAGCCGAAAGACGTGGCCGTGGAGGAGAAAAAGTACGTTTCCGATTTGGGCTCGGAATTTGCATTTTTAGGAAGCCGGAGGAGAAGCCGGAGCAGCAGCACAAGCCGGCTGATGACGGGGTGGAGCAGCCGGAGCCGACCGTCAAGTCGACCCCGGAGAAGAACACCAACGGAAACCAAGAGTCGCCCGTCAGCAACAAGGTATTTTTTCGATTTTACGATTTTACTATTTTCGGCACTGGACGGTTAGGGGGAAGCAAATTTTTCCCTGTGGATCTCCTCTGATCCACTACGGCCCTATAACAAAATATAAATCATTTTTATAACATTTTACACAGTTTTTTTCGATTTAAAAAGCTCTGTAAAAACGTCCGAGTTTTCGAAAATGTTTGAAACTTTCTTTGTAACTTTTCGGCGATCAAAAACTACTAAAAACAGTAGAAAAATACACTATCAAAATGTTGTTTTCCGCTGCTAACAGTTTAGTGCCGGATTTTCGGCTTTTTCTAGTCCTCTGAAATTAAAATTCCATCCCAAATTTTCCAAACCTCAGCAAAAAATCTGCGGTTTCCATGCGGAATCACTAAAAATTTTTATTTAAAATTAATTTAAATTGTTTTTTTTTCGTTTAAAACTATGTTTAAAAGTTTAATTTTAACTTTATGCTGACCTTTTTAGCAGTCACCCGCCAAGCAGCCGTCGCCCGAGCCGGAAGTCGAACCCGAGCAGACGAAGCAACAGCCCAACGAGGACAAGGAGGAGGGCGCTCCGGAAGAGAGCGACGAACAACACACCGTCTTCACCCAAGTCTCCACCTCGGCCACGTACGCACGTTTCAACGTTTTCAAATTTTTTTTTTTGCTCAATCGAAAATAACTAAAAATTGAATACCTATCAGAATCTCGATTTTCCGGAATCACGAATTTTCAGAATGTCGAAATATGCTAATGTTGGATTCAGGGCGTGGGCGTGCAATTTTCGGAGCCTTTAATGCGGATTTAAATCATGGAAAACGATATTTTAAAAATTCCAGATTCTGAAAATTCGAGATTTTGACAGATTCCCTTTTTTTGCTCAATCGAAAATAACTACTAGTTTTAACACATGAAGAAGCCAAAAAAAAACATACATTTTTGGGTTATTTTTGACCAGACGATTTTCAAACAGGCGACTGCCAACGGGTGACGGCCAGTTCGCCTAAAACCCGTTTCGCCTAATTTTTTTTTGGCCATTTTCAATGCTGCATTTTTCGATTGTTTCGAAATGCCTAAGGCGTTTTATTTTATTTTATAAACATAATTCTGGAAATTCCTTGTAAAAATCACGTTTTGAAGCGGATTCCCTGGCTTTTATTGAAGGATTCCAAGAACTATCTTTAAAATGTTCGAAGCAATTAGAAAAATTTCGAGAATTGCCGGCTTTTTGGTCAAAAATTCAGCTATGAGAATGGCCAAAAATTAGGCAAAAAATGGGTTTTAGGCGAAATGGGTTTTAGGCGAAATGGGTTTTAGGCGAAACGGGTTTTAGGCGAAATGGGTTTTAGGCGAAATGGGTTTTAGGCGAAACGGGTTTAGGCTAAATGGGTTTTAGGCGAAATGGGTTTTAGGCGAAATGGGTTTTAGGCGAAACGGGTTTAGGCGAAATTTTTCGGCGTAATGACCGGAATTCACTGCCAACCGTTTTCAAAAATGTTTTAACATTTAGCAAATCGCCGCCACGCGACGAGAATGGGCAAGAGGAGCTGCTCGACTATGGCGATGATGACGATGAGGCCGAGGCCAAGGGCGCCGAACAGAACAAACGAGAAGCCCTCAAGGAGAAGCCGCATCAACAACACAACCAGCGCCAACACTCGTCCTCAAAGCCCAAGGAGGAGGTAACGGTTTTTTTGGAAAGTTTTGCCATGTGAAAAAAACTGGAGGAGGAGGCGCCTTTTTTTGCTCAGCATCCGATTTTTCTAATGTAAATAGTGGGCGTATGATTTCTAAACGGGTTTTTTTTACTATTTTTAAACGTCAAAACTCTGTATATTTTGTTTTAAAATAACAAAAAACAACGGTTTTTCCGCGATTTTCGTTTTTCCGGTTTTCCGGGTGTTTTTCCGCCAAAAAATTCATTAAAAACTTAAGAACTTGCGCATTCGCACTAGGCATTTTTGGACGTGAAAGAACCGGAAAAAAATGCTGCATTTTTCATCACCGATTTGCAGTTGCCGGTCGACACGTCGTCGATGTGGCTGCCCGAGAAGGACGGCTTCAAGCGCGTCAAGGAGCCCTCGCCCTGTCGCAATCCGGTCTCTACGGTGCGTTTGTGTATCCGTCGTTCACGAATTGGTGTACGATCCCTGTTGGCCGCCAATCCCAGCGCGCGGGCTACGGCCGACTGTACCCTAGAGATGTTACGCATGCCGACGCGACGTCGGGATAACGTGCAAATTAGGATGATGCAAAGCGCAAAAAATCGTTTTCTCGAGCTGATTTTGTACTTTGCATCCTAATTTGCAGGTTATCCGACGTCGCGTCGGTATGCGTAACATCCCCCCCCCGGAATACTCAAAAACGGCTTATTTTCAAAATGTGGAAATCCAGAATGTCGAAATTTACGTAAGCTAAAATTTCCGGTAAAGTCCCCGAATTCTAGGCAAAAAATGTTGTCGTGAGATAAGATAAAAAAAAATAGAATGTGGAAAAAATTTTTTTGGCTGGGATTTGGCGGTTTCACCGGTAATATTAGCCTATGTAAATTTCGACGTTCTGAATTTCGACATTATGAATTTCGACATTATGAAATTTCGACATTCTGATACCAAATCCTCAAAAACCATCTTTTGTTGCAGTACGTGCACATCCGCGGGCTGACGCGCCCCTTCACCCAGCACCAACTGAACGCCCTCATCTCCAACAACGGCACCATCGACAAGTTTTGGATTGACAAGATCAAGAGCAATTGCGTCGTTCAGGTGAGCGTTCCCGGGTGATAGCCGCGCGTTTTTTTTTTTGGTGTGGCCGGTACGTCATCCGGCCGCTTTGCCCTAACCCATTTCGCCTGAATTTTTGACGATTTGCATCGCGGCATTGTTGACCAAAAAAAATCAACATTTTTCGAAATGTTTATAAGTGTTTCGGAAATTTTTCAAGATTCCGGTGCTGATAAATTAAAATAAAATTAAGGCTTTTCCAAGCGCTGAGGTGCTAATGCAGTTACGGGGGGGGGGGGACACTCCGGAATTGACACTAACAGATTACAAGGCGCTCCGCTTTAGCTACTTGGTTTTTTTTGCGCTTAAGCCTGCTCCCCTTGAGCTTGAACTATGCCTAGCTTAGGCTTGGGCTTCGCTTCTGAAGCTAAGCTTACTTTTAAGCTTTCAGTAGCCTTACGAGGTCAATATTGGGCTTATTTAGGGCTTCTCTTATGGCCTGGCTAAAGCTAAGCTAAGGCAAGCCTAGGCTTAGGCTTCGCTTAGCTTTTCCAGAGGCTTAGATTTGAAAAAAACGGCTTTTGGAGCGTTTCGTAGTCGAAATTCGGACTGCCCCCCCATAAATGCATTAGCACCGTCCCCGAAATTCGTGAATAAAAGCCTAGAATATAGCTGCGAAAGGTAAAGAGTTTGGTAGTCGGAATACGGTTCCGGTTAATCCCGAAATTCGTGACCAAAAGCCTAGTATATAGCTGCGAAAGGCGATTTTCAAAAAGGAATTTCCAGCATTATATTCAAAATCAATTAAACACTTATATTCATGTCGAAAATGTTGTGTTTTTTTGGCCAAAATGCAGGTCAAAATTCTTGGCGTAATCGGATTGAGGCGACATGGGTGTCGGTGAACTCGGTACCTTGTTTTTATTGGCTCCTAACGTTTCGTGGCTTTTAGCTGGCCACCGTGGAGGAGGCGCAGCGTGTCCGTCGTGCTCTTCACAACGTCGTCTGGCCGGAGACGAACCCGAAGAGTCTCTCCGTCCAGTACACCACCAAGGAGCAGGTACTGTATCCCCCCCCCGTCCGCCTCAATTTTCTCGGTTTTTGGGTGAACGTTGGCGGCATCGAATTGGTGCAGGATTGTTGGCGGGGGAAGGCACTTTTTTTTGGGTTTTCCACCTCTTGATTCCTGATCTTTAGGAATTTTTATAGTGTTTTTAGTGGCTTTTGATTGCTAAAAAGTTAGAAAATTTTTAAATTTGGAAAATGCGAAAATTTCTACCCTTTTTGGTCATTTTTCATACACTTTTTCACCAGGTAGTCAAAAATTTTCGACGATTTTTATTGTATTTTTTCTATGTTTAAAAACTATTTAAAATGTTACAAAAATGGGTTGTATTTTGTTATGGGGCGGTAGAGACTCGGAGGGAAAAATTTGGTTCTCCTGGCTGCCCCCCCCCGCTAACAGTCCAGAACCATCGAATTCCCGAATTTCAGCATACCGCGTTTTCTACTATATCCGTTTTTGCGATGCCGTTTTTTCCAATTCGAATTTTCTTCATTTTTTCGCCGATTTTCACGATTTTCGAAAGTTTCCGGGTCTTGGCAAGCAAGCGGAAAACATACAAAACCAGCGCAACCGATAGCCCGGCATCAATTTTATCAAAAGAATTCTAGGGTCCATTATAGTGCGCATTCAAGCCGATGAAAATTCTGCATATGAAGCATTTACGGATGTAATTCACCTTTTTTTCAGTACGAGCGCTACTCGGCCGGGTTGGCGCCGGTGACGGAGACGCGCAGCACCGATCGGGAACGCCCCGTGACTTCGCTGAAGCGCGACCCCGAGCCAATCTCTTCAACGCCATCAGCTTCCACCCGCAACATCAAGGAAGGAAGACAAACGCTCAAGATTACGGTGGAGACGAATGTGCGCGATAATGAGAGGACGGCTGTGCGGCACGTGGAAAGGGCCAGAGAGAAGGAACGGGAGAGGGACAGGGATGCTGAGGTATTCTTTTCACTTTCCGATCGGAAGAATGGAATGGAATGGAATTAGAAATTTGCGCTATTTCTATTAGCAAAAGCAGAATGAAAAGGCCAAAATTTCGACTTTTTGGGCCGGGCCAACGCTAGTGCGAAAGGATCCTTTTCCTTTCCCACCAATCCTCATCTCGCAATTTAGCGCGACTCGACGAGACGCAAACGCTCAGCGACACCACCCCACCGTCGTGATGACGTCAAGCGAGATCGCCGCGAGCGCAGCCGAAGCCGTCAACGGTCAGTGCCGCTTTTTTCATCTGAAGTTGATCGTCTCCTCTTTCCAGTGTTGACGAGCCTCAAGCCAAGACCCTTGAGGAATTGTTCAAGAAGACTGCCGCCCAGCCGGCCATCTACTATCTGCCGCTCACCGACGAGCAGGTATCCCCCTTTTCGGCCACCTTCCGCATTCCATTTTCAGGCCGCAAAACGTGCCGAAGAGAAGGCGATCGTCGAAAAGGCCCGTCAAGAAGAGCGTGAACGCCGTGAAAAGGAGCGGGCCAGCCGCAGAAAATCGCGCAGCCGTTCGCCGCGCCGTTGAGCAGCAACTCGCCGGCAAAGCGTATCCCTTTCTTCTGTCTCTCTCTTTTTCTTTCTTTCTTTCTTTCGCCCTGGTCTCATCCAAAATTCCGACCCTTAAATTCCTCCAAAACCCCCGTCGATACCTTTGAATTGTCGATCAATACCCCCGCGTCCACAATTCCCTTTTTTTGTTGTTATTCATTGTGCCGAATATCGATTTAGACGACATTGCGTTGCGTGGTGTGTACTGTACTCTGGCTGACAGGAGAGGCGTGTGACACTGACGGCGAGGAGGCGATGATACCCGTTCTGATGACGTCGTCGATTGTTTGACCGGCCTGGGAGGGTTGTTCATCTACCCTCGCGCCCACCCAGGTTCGATGTTCCGTTGGCGCTTCGGCGTCCCTGCTCGTCTCCTCATCGTCTTCCGATTGACAAGGCGCGCAAGTTCATCTACGCTCACGCATTGCCCGCCCATTATTCTATCAATAAATCGTTTACGCTGAACACTTTGTATTGTCGGAAATCGCAGACCATTTGATCTTCGCAATGTCGCAGCAACATTTCGAATGGAATGACGTATCAGCACTTTGCCAGCTACTGGTGTCACTTTTCTCTTTGCGGGGGCGGGGGGCAGACAGTCAGTCAGGCGAATCAGATTTTCCGTGTTTTAACACAGGGAAAACCTACGGTGGAAGGTGTTAAAATTTGTTTCTTGCAGCGAGCCCGCGACGCTGGAGACGCCATTCGACTGGTTCTCGTTGACCTGCGGTGCAAGCGGCTGAAATAGCTAGACTCCCGTTGAGCCTTCGGGCCGAGAAACTAGAGTTAGTTGTTTTCTATGGCCTGCGGCGCCAGCATTCAATAGTCATTGAGTTCGTTAGCCCGCCGGCGCGAGAAACTAAAGTTAGTTTAAAGTTTAGGATTGGAATTGGAAACACTGCCGATATTTCGTTTAGGAAAAACAGAATGAGAATGAGTTCGTTAGCCTGCGGCGCTAGAAATAGGATTTCATGGTTTCTTTTGGCTACTAAACGATACTAACCATAGCAATTACGCCGATCGGACGGCGCAAGATGCTGCTTGACGCGGTTTTTCTTTAGGCCTGCGACGCTAGAGCCAGAATTGCGCCTAAAACCCGTTGGCCTGCGGGGCCAGAGCCATAAGTACGTCTAAAATCCTTAGGCGTGCGCGGCTAGAAACTAAAGTTGTTTCTTTTGGCCTGTGGCGCCAAATACTAAACATAGCAATCACGCTGAGCGGGACTTTTTATTTCCTTTCTTTTCTAAATTCTTTAGGCCTGCGGTGCCAGAAACTATAGTCAGTTGTTTCCTATGACCTGCGGCGCAAGGAGCTGCAGCAGCTAGGTGGCTTGAGCCCGCGGCGGGAGAAACTAACGTTGGTTGCCCCTTTAGCCTGCGGTGCCACGGCAATCGATAGGTCTAAAAGACTACTGCGGCGCCAAATACTAAAAATGACGCGTAACTGGCTGCGCAAGATGCGACTTGATGTTTCTTTGGGCCTGCGGCGCTAGAAACTGAAGTTACTGGTTTCTTTTGGCTACTAAAAATACTAAAACCAGCCGCTTCCGGGGAGACTCCGTGGCGAGGAGATGCGGATGCAGGTTCTTTCTTTAGGCCTGCCACGCCAGAGCCCGAATTACGCCTAAAACCCGTTGGCCTGCAGCGCCAGAGCCATAAGTACGTCTAAATCTTTAGGCCTGCGGCGCTAGCAACGGAAGTTACTTGTTTCTTTTGGCTAACAAAAATAGCCACTTTCGCCGACACTTCGTGGCAAGAAGATGCTGATGCAGCTACCGTCGTTGGGCCTGCGGCGCCACAGCAAGGAATATCTTACCTGACGTTACCCGACGGCGTAATATACTGAAAAAACGGGGCCGTTGCCTGAATTTTGGAGCTGCCACGGTATCTTCAAAAAACACGGACGGGAACAGTTTTTTTTGCTGAGATTCCCGAAAAAAATCCGGCGATGAATGGGGGAAAGAGCAATAAATACTCTTTCCGTGTTGATACTAGAAAATGGCGCTTTCCTGTTTGCGGGGGAAGCTGGCTGAATTTCATAGCTTGGTCGATTCTGGCCCAGTGATGGCATGTACCGTTTTTACAGTGTTTTTGGCAATTTTTTATGCTTAAAAATTTATGGGAGACATCTTTTTTAGCGCCGCTAATAGAATCTATGGTCGTTTTTGGGCGTCCTGCTTGTGGTTTTGGCCACAAGTCACCAATTGCCAAAAGTGTTTGATGGGTTATATTGTAAAGAATAGCGCACCGGTCATAAACGTGGTGAAAAGGTAAAATTGCACCACTAAACGTGTGATCCTTTTTGCCCAAAAAGGACATGGGAAGCAAGGGAAAGGGAAAAGCCAGCCTCGGTGGACCCTAAAAAGCATGCGCGCCACGCTAGCGGAGAAATACGCCAAAAAGCAAAAGAAATGCATGGGCGTAGCGCCGAACTTCCCTCCGCAGCACGGCTTCAACTTGGTGGGCAGCCGCTCTAACGACTGCGCCATGGCGTCATGTGGGTGGGCTGGTGGGAAAGGGGCCTTATCGGGTCGCCGCCCGCCCCTGGGGGCGCCCACAAGCGCACGACGGGCATCTGGGGGATGTTAATTTGATTTTATGCAAATTTCGTCATGGATTTTTTAAAATTTAACTTGGATGCGGCGGGCGGAGTGCGAAAAGCGAAAAATTGGGCTGTCAGCATTCCAAATTACGGCCCAGTCGATTTTTCAGCTAATTTTGACGAAAAAGCTCTGATTAATTAGTTAAATTTTTTGGGCGATTTCGGTTTTTGATTTTAATAAATTTCATCGGGTTTAATTTAGTCTAGAATTTCGAAGTTTTTACAATTTTTTCTCCTAGGATTTCGCAAAAATTTTTGATTATTGATTTCTCTGAATTGCGACCATTTTTCTCATTTACCTGCTTTTTGTTTTCCATTATTTTTCTCTCTGTTGGTGTGCCAACTCGCCGAGAATCATATTTCTTTCAGATAACTTGGGCTAACTACTCCGCTTCACTTGTCCGTCGTCTGCACCGTCATCGGCATGTTCGGCGCCCCGGACCCTCCGAAACTCATGGCCGGCTCGTCGTTGCATTGAATGGTGAGCGCTTGGTGCTTTTTGAGGGTTTTTTCCGGATTCGTGTGGGGGAACCAGCTTTTTTCCTGGCCTCCCGGTTGGCTTGGCAAGCGAATATACATCGTGTTATATTGCTTTTAATACGTTTTCACTCGATTTAAGGTCCAAAAAATGTTTGAAAGAGCCGAAAAAAATCAAATTTTTGACCTAAAGCTACATTTTGCATTTTGCTCAGGAATAGTTCAACGTTTCTGCGTTTTTTAAATTGTAAATTTGATCAAAAATTCCCATTTTCAGATTGTCAGCGCGACGCACCGTGTCGAAGCGTACCTGCCCTCCATGAACACGACGTGGCTCGACAGCCGTAGATCACCAACTGATGGCATCAGGATACGATGACCGGCTCGTCGATGCATTTAATGGTGAGCGCTTGGTGCTTTTCGAGTATTCGAGGGTGGTTAAAATGCTTTCAATTATTTTGAAAGCTTTCTAGCGATCAAAACTATCAAAAAATGCTGGTCCTTTCGTAATATCGGGGGGGTTTTTTGTATAGGTCTAGAAATGCCTATTAACTTGATAGAAAGTGTTTTTATACTCCATTTAACGCAGAAAAACTTTAAAAAAACATTAAAATGCTTGAAAAAGTCGAAAATTTGGTCATTTTTCAAGTTTAAAAAAGTTTTCGACATAAAGTTAAGTTTTGGCAGGAAAATTGGTATGGTTTTAGGCTCAGGAATAGTTCAAAACAATGTAAAAAAATGCACTCGACGAATTCCGTGTTTGCACCGGAAAAAAGTGCTTCTTGAAGTCTTCGAAATCCTGAAGAAACGTTTTTTGGCATTCGCCTTTAGACACATGCTTTTTTGTGCATAAAAACTTTATAAATTTTAATAAAATAAATTGATTTTTCGTAGAAGAAGCAATTCTGGACCTCTAGGTAAAAAATTTGGTTAGGAAATTTGAGGAAAAAAAAAGTCCCGATTTTTTCAGATTGTCAGCGCGACGCAGGAGAACCGAAGAAGAGCGAAGAGCGCCTGTCATCCATGAACACGACGTGGCTCGACAGCCGTCTGATGAAGACGAGCTGATGGCCGGCAGCTACTTGATCTGGTGAGGGAATTAACGTGTATTGGTGTACTTTATAGTTTTAGGAATGCTGCAGACGCGCGGAAAGTTTTGACGACTTCCGTTTTTCGGGCCGACTACGAGAAGCCGGCCAGTTTTCACGGATCTGGCAACGGGCCAATAGATGTGAGTAGATCTCTCTCTCTCTCTCTCTCTCTCTCTCTCTCTCTCTCTGCCTCAAAGAACCCCTACTAGCCTGCCCTGTTTAGGTCCTTCTCTGTTAACGGGGGGACCAATTTTTCCAAGTAATTCCGTAGGGCACTATGACAAAATTCAAACAATTGTTATCCGATTTAGCATAGTTTTTGGATCTGAAATCATGATGCAAATTTTTTTGAATTTTTGTGATCTTTGTCAAAATTATGAAAAAGCGCAAAATTTCGAATTTTCAAGTTTTGAAGGTATTGTTAATAGCCGGCTAGCAGCCAAAAATTGCCAAACATACAATAAAATATATCATTTTGTTTAAATCTCTCTCTCTCTATCTCTCTCTCGCCCTAATTGTCTCTCTATTTTCAGTTCATGTTCCTTCGTCACTGTCTGCTCGCCTACAAAATGGAGGAATGGCCGACAGATGAATGGATTCTTTTCCTCGACGCTGATATTGGGGTTCGTGTTTTCGGAGGGGGCAGACTAGCAAAGATTCTTTGAGGAATCGAGGCTTATTCCACCCCCTTTTTCAGGTTGTCAACCCGGCGCACCGTGTCGAAGAGTACCTGCCCTCCTCGAACTCGACGTGGCTCCGTTTCTACAGCGGTCTGATGAAGACGAGCTGATGGCGGGAAGCTATTTGATCTGGTGAGGGAATTAATGTGTATTGGTGTACTTTGTGGTTTTAGGAATGCTGCAGCGCGCGGAAATTTTTGCCGACTACGACTTCGCTTTTTCGGGCCGACTACGAGATGCCGGCCAGTGTTGACAGATCCGAGAATGAGGTGATAAATCTGAGTGTTTCTCTATCGCCCCCATTCCTCAAAGAATTCTGCTAGCCTGCCCGATTTCGGTCCTTCTCTGTTAACGGGGGGGACTGAATTTTCCACGTAATTCCGGAGGGCCCTATCACGAAATTTCAGCCATTTTTATCGTTTGTCGCTAGAAAACATTATAAAAAATTAACAAAATGTTCAAAAATGAAAAAATGGCCAGCAGAGGTCGCATTTTCAAAATGTTTTAAGTATTTTAAAAATTTTCTTAAATACTTTTTTAATAGTTTAATTATTCTACTTTTTCAGCGCCACCTTGGCCATCGTTTTCCTGTTGCTGCTGGTGTTTTTGGAAGCGTGGACGGGCTGTGGCTATGGTCTCTACATGGGATATTATCGATTAACCGTCACCGTTCAGCCGCCACTGATTACGCCAGGTAATTTTTCGCAAAGAATCTCTGCAAGCCTGCACCTTTTCCAGGCATCCACCATATCCAACTTGTTGTCGTCGTGAAGAACGGGGACATGACGCAGTACGCCATTGCCCAACAGACGATGCGCTGCTACGCGCAAATACATAATTACACCCTGCATACGGTACGTTTTCCCTAATGGTCTCTGCTCGCTGCCCTCGCTTTTTTCGATTCTTCAAAAATCTGTTTTTTAGATCCAACTCGACGAGGAGGTCGAGCTGGCAGCGAGATGTAGGCCTCATCAAGATGAGGATTTTTCGGTGGCCACGCCGCTTTTCTCCAAAAATCTCTGCCAGGTAGCCGGCCTCTAAATTCCTCAAGAATCTCCGCTGGTTGCCCCGGGTTTTCGCGATCAAGCCACGCCCCTGTTGCGCCGATTTTTTCTATTTTTTTTATGCAACATTGGCTCATAAAAAGAATGTAGGTCTCCCCCCCGATAATGCAAGAGATCCTCAATGTTTTATTTTTATTGATTGATTTGTTGACATTTCATTTCTGTTCGCGAGCGGGGTCTATTTTGTGCTTTTATTCTTTTAAAGTGTATTGACCTAAAAAGTTATCAAAATTATTTTTTTACCTTTGAAAATCGAAAATTTTAACCTTTTTTTGGTCATTTTTCGGAAATTTTTTGACCAAAACGTCAAAAATCGCAAGGAAAGTTTTGATTCCCCCCTGTTAACCCCCTCCCCCCCGTTAGCAGTCCAGAACCGAAATTTTTTTTCCTGAGAAGCCAAGGTTGTTTTCAGGGTCGACACGGGACGGCAACAGGCGATGATGGTGCCGAGTAGAGGTAATGATCTGCCGGCACCGGAGCACGTCGTCAAGGAGGAAGGTCCTCCGCTATGGAATGTCGTTTCGAGGTCTGTTTTTGGATTTTTGTATTTCGTGAAATACAGCAGAAAGAGCGTGTCTCGGGCCTTTTATTCGGCACCGGAAACTGCACGATTTTGGTTCTTTCCTTTTAACGGGGGGCCTTTTTTATTTTTGAACCTGTTGAATCGGTATAGTGTTTTTATAGTGCTTTTAGTAGTTTTTGAATCCTAGAAAATTATAAGAATTATTTTTAATTTTGAAAATGCGAAAATTGTGAGCTTTTTGGCCATTTTCATACATTTTTGACCAAAAATTCAAACATTTCGGAAAATTCGTTAATTAATTCGGAAAATTTATATCTAAAAACTATGTAAACTGATATAAACAGGTTTTTATTTTGTTATAGGGCCGTATAGAATCACAGGGAAAATTTTGATTCCCCCCTGTTAATCCCCCCCCCGCTAACAGTCTAGAACCTAACTTTTTTTTTCCTGAGAAGCCAAGGACGGCAACAAATGCTGATGAATGTTGAAAATTCTTTTGTTTTCAGTAACGACACGGGACGGCAACAGGCGATGATGGTGCCGAGTAGAGGTAATGATCTGCCGGCACCGGAGCACGTCGTCAACTTTGGAGGATTTGGCGGATTTTGTTCAGGTCTGTTTTTGTATTTTTTCATTGCATAACATACAGTAGAAAGAGCGTGTCTCGTGCCTTTTATTAGCCGCCGGAAACTACACTATTTTGGTTCTTTCCGTTTAACGGGGGGGGGGGGGTAGGTATTTTTTGCTTCTCAGCTGTTAGCGGGGGGACCACTTTGTTTGTTTTTGAACCTGTTGAATCGATATAACGTTTCCATAGTGTTTTTTTTAGTAGTTTTTGAATCATAGAAAATTATAACAATTATTTTTTGAAGTTTGAAAATGCGAAAATTTTGGCCATTTTGCATACATTTTTAGCCAAAAGGGATACATTTTCGAAAATATATATTAGTTTTTAAAAATTGGTTTTATTTCTAAAATTATGGGCTCATGTCACCCTGCGCTCAGCGGCCAGCGCATGGGCCCTAGCTGGCCCTCAGCGGCTGTGCATCGCTGTCGCACTACCCTGCCTTGCTGGCCAACTTTATATCAGAACAAAAAACTAACTACAAACAACAAAAATAGACTATGCTATTCACTTTTTGTATACTTGAATCTAGTAGGAACCAGATCTCTTGATAAGGGGATGCAGGATCCCGTCGGGGTTCGTACGTCACTTGGAGCTGCGCGTCGCGGGTAGCAAAATTTCGTCGAGATCGGCCCGGGGAAATTTTTTAACATTTTGAATCAATATCGAAAATAAGTAAATGTATTCGAAGGCGCTTAGTTGCTCTAAGATTTGTGCTTTTAGGTTTTTCCTGCTAATCACTTTGTCGGTTATATTTATTTCGTACTTTTAGCGTTGCATATTTTTTTGAAGGGAACCCGCACGTTCTTTTGGTTTTTAGCCGGAATCAAGCCCTTTGTTGTAGTCGTTTGTAACTGCAATAAGATCAATGACAGCAAAAAAATAGCGGGCTACTGCGTAGGACAAAAGCGGCTTTTCTAAGGCTTCTAATAAATGTGACCCCTTTGAATGAGCTTGAAGATTTGCCGGCGCACGCCATCCAGCACAATAGTTCATCAAAATTGCGTACTATCCGTGCTTGATCGTACGAGAATCACCATGTCGCATACTATATGACTTCGCTACGCTGACAGAACTTGAATTTGCCTTGTTAACCCATTGTATTGCCTCTTTTCAGCCGCTGCACGACCAGCGCGAACTTCAGCGGTCTCGACGAACGCCGCGCTGGACAGGGACGGCTGCAAAGAATGCAGGTGAGAATTTTTATCCTTATCTTTTCCCCGAAACCGGTGTTTTGGGATGTTGCTAGGTGTGGTTTTTGGAGTTGAATTGAGAATGAATAGACGAACTCCACATTAAAACGCGGCCGAATGCGACTTAAGATGTTGTCTGATGCTTGCCCATCGTGATTTTACTCAGCATTTGAACCGGGCTCCCTCACAAATTTGGCTTATTAATTTTAAAAATACAATTCATTTGCGAAAGACCCGCCAGACACATCCCCAAACGCACGGTTTTGCGATAGGGAAGGCATCTCCGGGCGAATTGGCTTGCACAATAAACATTTTTTTAGTCTTTCCTCGACTGGTATACGCAATGGGCGCCACCGGGCAACGACTCGCTCTATTGTCGTCCGGAAGACGAACCGGAATGGTCGACGCTTCCATCCGTTTACAATACTTTGGTAGGGTTTTGAATCTGTCCCGCTTACACGGCTTTGCACGGGTTACAAGTAATAATTTCTGCGTTTAGGAGCGGATATGCCTGGGGGCCACGCCGAAGCTGGTCGCTTTCGTGGTTTGCGAGTTGTTGGTCAAGATCCTGATTTTTCGACGGGCATCAAGGTGGCTGAAACCTGTCCAGCTGCTAAAACTCGTGATGATTCTGATCAGCTTCGTCGCCGATTTGTACTTCAAACTCGTCACTGATGCGCTGACCGTGGCGACGGTCGTTGCGAGCGTTATCGTGGCGACAATCGATTGGCTTTTGCTTTTGGTTGGTGGAAAATATTTTTGACCTTTATATTAACTTTTCTAGGACAGGGAAGCGAAGATTGCTCGTCAAGTTTATGAACTGTTGATGGCTCGGAGACGCTTTTTTTTGCTCCAGTTGGGCGTGTCTGAAGCTTATTTGAAAAAAGAGTATGTTTTCCATTTCACTTTCCAGACTTTGTTTGCAGGGTCAATACCCCAAAATACCCCGGACTCGATGTGGGATGGTTCGGTCGCACGCCAGTCCCAGCCGGCATGTGCATACGGACACGTGAGTGCTTTGCCTTCAGATTTCGATCTTTGACCTTGTACAGGCGTCGTACGTCGGCAAGAGAACGCGCAGGAGAAGGCCACATCCCAATTTCGTCACCTATGGAGCCTGGCCACGAGATCAACACCACCAACCCGTGCTTTCATCGACGGATCAGATGACAAGATGATGCGCCTCTACGGATACGATGCCTTTTCCGTGCAGGTCCGTAGTTTTGGTCGGTACAATTGCGATAAGCGAGGGGTAGTGTTGGACCCCTCGCCCCCCCGGGCACCCCGGGGTGCCTTTTGGGCAGATATGGCAATCCCGGCCGACCCGCCGGCCTAATTTCCAAAAAAAACCCGGCCCCCTACGAGCCGCGTTAATGAATTACTTCCGGAAACCCGGCTTCCCTGCCCAGCCGGCTTTTTGTTGCGGTCCGGCCGAGCCGGGAAACCGGAAGTTGTTCATTTACGTGAGAATCCGTGAATCCTATGCAACATTGTGAATGGAAATGACAAAATTTGTCTGATGGAATAGCTTTTCCCTTGCCATAAAGCTAATTATTGATTGAATCCGCAATTTGCGTACCGGAAACGCGAAAATCTCATTTGGGTCCGGCTTTCCGGCTTTTCAGAAGCCGGCGGCTTGGCCGGCGCGCCGGCCTCAAAACATAAAAAAGCCGGGGCCGGACCGGAAGCTCCGGCGAAACCGTTTGCCATGTCTGCTTTTGGGGTGCTGTCTGGGGTACTTTTTGGCAATGACGTCATTATATGAACTAGCCTTTTTTTGACCAAATCAGAAGATGAACATCACTTTCTAGCAGTTCGCACACATCAACGCCAAAACGCTCGCAACTCATTTGGGGGTCGTTTGGTAGCATTTCTTCGAGGTTATTCACGGCGGCGGACGATTTCGAGACGTTTTGTTCTCAACGCCCTAGCAGCCTGGACAACAACGCTAGAAATCTGTCAAGGTGCTAAATTATGGCAGTTTTGACGCTCTTTCCAACGGTATACTTAACGTTACACGAAACCGCCTGGGGACAGAGAGGGGAGCGTTTTAGTGCTGAGAGGCGTACTTGCCGAAGTTGTCGCAGCAGTAAAACCAATATATCTCGCTGGAAATGAAGTATTTTGGGGTGCGAAGTATACCATTCGAAAGAGCGCAAAACGTTCTATCTGTGTCACGAGTTTCGGTTTTGGAGCAGCTTTGTCCGGTCGGCTGGGGCGTTGAGAACAAAACATCCCGAAATCGTCCGCCGCCGTGAATAACCTAGAAGAAATGCCACCAAACGACCCCCAAATGAGTTGCGAGCGTTTTGGCGTTGAGGTGTGCGAACAACTAGAAAGTGATGACCTGCACGCAAATTTTTTGCACGCGCTACACACCCCGGCTAAATCACGCCCCCCGCCCCCGTGCTTATCGGAATTGTACCTTTTGGTCCGAGAACAAGCGAGGGTATCCGGTTGAAATTATTTGTATCTCCGGATTTTCAGATGGCACTTCACACCTTCTTTGGCCACGGAACAGACAAGCTCATCAAAAATGACGCTTCCCCGGGACTTGTTGAGGCCACAAATAAGATGTCCGACTTCTCGACGGCCAAGGTCTGTCCCTTTCGCATTATTTGAAAACTATCCTATCCAGCCCAACTTCTACGACCAATACGAGCATTACGAAAGCGTATTCCGGGCCATTGCCAAGGCCTATGAGGAATGTCGTGCTGGTGCAATCTCGCTGCTACTATCGTGCGAAGCCGAGGTTTACCGGTTGGTTGTCATGCTTGTGGCTAGGGGCTCATTGGGTAACGGGGGGGGCAAATTTTTGAGATTAAAGCTGAACAATGAAAACGCGAATCGATAGAACGTCAAAAAATCCACACAGAGATTTTTAAAACGCAAAAATCTATTATAAAAGTTTTATAGCATAAAACCTATTTTTGAAAACTCTGGGGAGCAGACTGGATAACGGGGGGGGGGACCTGTTTTTGGCGTTTTGAATATTTTCGATATTTTGAAAATGTCATTCGATAGAGGGCCGAAAAATATACCAAGGGCTTGCTTTGTAGCCCGAAAAAAAGCCGATTTAAAGATACTTTTTATTAAAAAAATTGTGTGCCCCCCCCCCGTTATTCTATGTGTACCGAATTTTAAGTTGGATTAGCGCTCTGGCAGTAATTATTTAGATTTTTTTGCGCTTTTGTTTTCTTTTCCAGGATTATTTCTAAACCCATTTTCCAGAATCTGTGGCTACGACAGCGCACTAGCAGACAAGATCAAATATGTGATATGGTTGACGGAGATCCGCGCCGGGCTGATGGCCCTTGAATCCTACAATGTCGATCAGAAGAAATGGGGCCAGGTATTGGGGGATTTTCGACTACAAAATACACCTCTTTACAGGCAGATTGTCACGCCCGCTACGTGCTGACGCGAGTCTGCCTGGAGGCCGGCCAGGGATTTGTCACCATCGAGTCCCTCGTACGTTTTTTTTGGCTGATTTTTGCTAATTTGCGCCGACTTTAGACGAATCCCGACGGCAAGCCCGACCTCAAGTTCAAGCTGGACCGCACGAAGATCGACAGCGTCGGCAAGCCGGCCGTCCGGGAATTCCTGATAAAATTGCAGGTATCGGATTTTTTTGGGGGGATTCGGGGTTCTTATCTGTTAGCGGGGGGGGGGGCACAGAGAAAGTGATAAACAATATTTTTTAATTGTAAAAATTCGAAAATGTGACGTTTTTTGTCATTTTTCATAAATTTGACCAAAATGCAACATTTTCCAAATTGTTTTGGGATCTAAAAACGGTGTAAAATGCTATAAATCTATTTATATTTTGCTATAGGGCTGTAGAGAATCACAGGCAAAAATTTGGTAAAGAATGCCGAAATCGAGTGAAAAAATTCGGGAAAATTTGCTTTTCAAAATTCCTTTTCACCCCCCCCCCCCCCAATATTGCACAAGAACCGCCTGTTTTTTGCAGCACTACAAATCGACGGCCGACTTCACGGGGGGCAAGGAGCTGTTCGACCACTACGGCAAGATTAGAGAAATCGAGCTCGGATGGAGGGATGTGTGCATCGCCCGATGGAATTTGCGTCTAGTGTTCTCCGCGACAGGTTTGTTGATTTTTGTGGTTCTGAAAGTTTGGAGATATGTAGAATCTGGTCGCCTGTTCGCTTCCTGCCCAAAATAGGCGACGGTTGATTCCGGTTCAGGCTAACTTTGTGCTTTTGAGACTTCGAAAATTTATAATATGCGCCCGCCTGCCAGTATACTCATTTTCAGAATGCCCTTCGTCCTTGGAGCAGCTGATTGATACGCGCCGCGCCGCATGGCATCTGGAATCACAACAAGAACCGTGGTATTTAAATGTGAAAAAGTGGTTATTTGAATACGGCCCAAAACCGCGCACCCGAATCCTTCTTGCAAACACGTTGATGTGTGAATCCATCTCAAAAATGTGCCCATCATTGTAAGCTACAGAATCGAGCGCTTTTTGTGATATCATGTGGACCTTGATTTTATTGCGTTTTATTGCGTTCATCCGTCGCGTGAATAAAGGTTTAATACACGGCAATACATTTTGCACGGCTAGAGCAAGGGAAAGCGATAAGAGCTTCGACGGCTTTTTCTTCGTGCGTTATTTGATTGAGCAGCTCGTGAAGCGTAATATTCGTCACATGTAGAAGATATCTTTTTTGCTTCATTTTGGCTATACGTCCCCCGTAAATCACCGTTCCAAGTCAATGTTATGTTTCCGCCGCTGTCTAAAATGACAAGGGAAGTGCATCTCGGCAGTTTTTTCAGCGGATTTCGGCTATGGGGGGCTATGTGTAGCGATCAGGAAGGTATAGAAGTAGTTTTTTCAGCGGATTTCGGCTATGGGGGCTATGTGTAGCGATCAGGAAGGTATAGAAGTAGTTTTTTCAGCGGATTTCGGCTATGGGGGCTATGTGTAGCGATCAGGAAGGTATAGAAGTAGTTTTTTCAGCGGATTTCGGCTATGGGGGCTATGTGTAGCGATCAGGAAGGTATAGAAGTAGTTTTTCAGCGGATTTCGGCTATGGGGGCTATGTGTAGGATCAGGAAGGTATAGAAGCAGTTTTTTCAGCGGATTTCGGCTATGGGGCTATGTGTAGCGATCAGGAAGGTATAGAAGTAGTTTTTTCAGCGGATTTCGGCTATGGGGGCTATGTAGGACAGGAAGGTATAGAAGTAGTTTTTTCAGGGATTTCGGCTATGGGGGCTATTGTAGCGATCAGGAAGGTATAGAAGCAGTTTTTTCAGCGGATTTCGGCTATGGGGGCTATGTGTAGCGATCAGGAAGGTATAGAAGTAGTTTTTTCAGCGGATTTCGGCTATGGGGGGCTATGTGTAGCGATCAGGAAGGTATAGAAGTAGTTTTTTCAGCGGATTTCGGCTATGGGGGCTATGTGTAGCGATCAGGAAGGATAGAAGTATTTTTTCAGCGGATTTCGGCTATGGGGGCTATGTGTAGCGATCAGGAAGGTATAGAAGTAGTTTTTTCAGCGGATTTCGGCTATGGGGGCTATGTGTAGCGATCAGGAAGGTATAGAAGTAGTTTTTTCAGCGGATTTCGGCTATGGGGGCTATGTGTAGCGATCAGGAAGGTATAGAAGTAGTTTTTTCAGCGGATTTCGGCTATGGGGGCTATGTGTAGCGATCAGGAAGGTATAGAAGTAGTTTTTTCAGCGGATTTCGGCTATGGGGGCTATGTGTAGCGATCAGGAAGGTATAGAAGCAGTTTTTTCAGCGGATTTCGGCTATGGGGGCTATGTGTAGCGATCAGGAAGGTATAGAAGTAGTTTTTTCAGCGGATTTCGGCTATGGGGGCTATGTGTAGCGATCAGGAAGGTATAGAAGTAGTTTTTTCAGCGGATTTCGGCTATGGGGGCTATGTGTAGCGATCAGGAAGGTATAGAAGCAGTTTTTTCAGCGGATTTCGGCTATGGGGGCTATGTGTAGCGATCAGGAAGGTATAGAAGTAGTTTTTTCAGCGGATTTCGGCTATGGGGGCTATGTGTAGCGATCAGGAAGGTATAGAAGTAGTTTTTCAGCGGATTTCGGCTATGGGGGCTATGTGTAGCGATCAGGAAGGTATAGAAGTAGTTTTTTCAGCGGATTTCGGCTATGGGGGCTATGTGTAGCGATCAGGAAGGTATAGAAGTAGTTTTTTCAGCGGATTTCGGCTATGGGGGCTATGTGTAGCGATCAGGAAGGTATAGAAGTAGTTTTTTCAGCGGATTTCGGCTATGGGGGCTATGTGTAGCGATCAGGAAGGTATAGAAGTAGTTTTTTCAGCGGATTTCGGCTATGGGGGCTATGTGTAGCGATCAGGAAGGTATAGAAGTAGTTTTTTCAGCGGATTTCGGCTATGGGGGCTATGTGTAGCGATCAGGAAGGTATAGAAGTAGTTTTTTCAGCGGATTTCGGCTATGGGGGCTATGTGTAGCGATCAGGAAGGTATAGAAGTAGTTTTTTCAGCGGATTTCGGCTATGGGGGCTATGTGTAGCGATCAGGAAGGTATAGAAGTAGTTTTTTCAGCGGATTTCGGCTATGGGGGCTATGTGTAGCGATCAGGAAGGTATAGAAGTAGTTTTTTCAGCGGATTTCGGCTATGGGGGCTATGTGTAGCGATCAGGAAGGTATAGAAGTAGTTTTTTCAGCGGATTTCGGCTATGGGGGCTATGTGTAGCGATCAGGAAGGTATAGAAGCAGTTTTTTCAGCGGATTTCGGCTATGGGGGCTATGTGTAGCGATCAGGAAGGTATAGAAGTAGTTTTTTCAGCGGATTTCGGCTATGGGGGCTATGTGTAGCGATCAGGAAGGTATAGAAGTAGTTTTTTCAGCGGATTTCGGCTATGGGGGCTATGTGTAGCGATCAGGAAGGTATAGAAGCAGTTTTTTCAGCGGATTTCGGCTATGGGGGCTATGTGTAGCGATCAGGAAGGTATAGAAGTAGTTTTTTCAGCGGATTTCGGCTATGGGGGCTATGTGTAGCGATCAGGAAGGTATAGAAGTAGTTTTTTCAGCGGATTTCGGCTATGGGGGCTATGTGTAGCGATCAGGAAGGTATAGAAGTAGTTTTTTCAGCGGATTTCGGCTATGGGGGCTATGTGTAGCGATCAGGAAGGTATAGAAGCAGTTTTTTCAGCGGATTTCGGCTATGGGGGCTATGTGTAGCGATCAGGAAGGTATAGAAGCAGTTTTTTCAGCGGATTTCGGCTATGGGGGCTATGTGTAGCGATCAGGAAGGTATAGAAGCAGTTTTTTTCAGCGGATTTCGGCTATGGGGGCTATGTGTAGCGATCAGGAAGGTATAGAAGCAGTTTTTTCAGCGGATTTCGGCTATGGGGGCTATGTGTAGCGATCAGGAAGGTATAGAAGCAGTTTTTTCAGCGGATTTCGGCTATGGGGGCTATGTGTAGCGATCAGGAAGGTATAGAAGTAGTTTTTTCAGCGGATTTCGGCTATGGGGGCTATGTGTAGCGATCAGGAAGGTATAGAAGCAGTTTTTTCAGCGGATTTCGGCTATGGGGGCTATGTGTAGCGATCAGGAAGGTATAGAAGCAGTTTTTTCAGCGGATTTCGGCTATGGGGGGCTATGTGTAGCGATCAGGAAGGTATAGAAGCAGTTTTTCAGCGGATTTCGGCTATGGGGGCTATGTGTAGCGATCAGGAAGGTATAGAAGTAGTTTTTTCAGCGGATTTCGGCTATGGGGGGCTATGTGTAGCGATCAGGAAGGTATAGAAGTAGTTTTTTCAGCGGATTTCGGCTATGGGGGCTATGTGTAGCGATCAGGAAGGTATAAAAGCAGTTTTTTCAGCGGATTTCGGCTATGGGGGCTATGTGTAGCGATCAGGAAGGTATAGAAGTAGTTTTTTCAGCGGATTTCGGCTATGGGGGGTAATTGAAATTGTTAGGAGGCTGCTCCTTGGCGCCCTTAGCGCTTGGATTGTATGAATAGGGGTGTTTCCTCAATCCCGAAAACTCTCGATGCCGAAACTCCGTATCCCGAAACAAGTTAGCTAGCTTTTACATACCGAACACCAGACTAGATCTTTGAAGTAAATAGTTTTCTGATATTTTTCGATTTCGGAAATTTGATAAAATGATTGTCCGATACCTTCAAGGATCTACTAAGGCGTTAGGAAACGCAAAATACTGAGTTTCGGGATAGAGGGTTTCGGGATTTCGGGAACGGCATTCTTACGAAGAACCTCTAGAATAGTTTTTAAATTCCGCGTTCTAAAAGAAGCTTGATTGCTTGGCTAGTTTTAGTGGAAGGTCGGCAGCAGATTTGGAAAACAGATTCGGGATGAGCGAAAAATTCTACACAAGATATCCTTGGTCCTATCCTAAAACGCCAGCCTGAGTAAAAACAGTTTACAGCAAGATGATCAAATACCTTCACATTGCGGTCTTCCCTTGGACGGTGTTTTTTTCGAAGATTGAAAGGCCTTTATTAAACGTAGTCAGTTCGGTACTCATAGGATAGCGGGGGGGGTGTCTGAAGCCATCAGGAAGCCACCCTGTAGTCAGTGCAATCTCAGTGCATGCTCTCGTTCAGGCAGAGTAGGTATAAATTTGATATGCAGAGAGAGGAGACAATAGAAAACGGCCAGTCCGATGGCACTCATGTAAAAATGTCTGATCATAGAGGATAGAAGACGTCCGACTAGAGTGAATAAGGCGGTGATTAGACAAAAATGGGACCATTCATCCATGACGAGCATGTACCACACACCTAAAGTGATGAGAAAACCCGAAGAAGAAAGCATACCGAGGGGTGCGAGGGTGAAGCAGAGCGCGATGAAGGATGCCACTGCCAGACCAATACAGGTGAATGCAGGCTGAAATGGGATATCAGGTTGGAAGCTAATTATTTGGGTAAAGGTCGCTTAACGGGGGGGGGGAACAAACGTCCGCAATACACACTTTACGTCCCGGTGGGAGTTTCCACGGCGGGCATCCGTTGCTCGGAATTAGCATAGCATCCGATCCATTAAGATGTACGGAAAACTGTAATGGTGCACATTGATGGAGAGAGCGAGCGAGAGAGAAAGAGAGAGAGAGAGAGGGAAAGAGACAGACAGAGCGAGAGAGAGAGAGAGAGAGAGAGAGAGAGAGAGAGACAGACAGAGCCACGGAGAGAGGAGAGAGAAGGAGAGAGGGAGAGAGAGACAGAGAGAGATAAGGAGAGAAAGAGAGAGAGGGACAGAGAAAGAGAGAGAGAGAAAGAAGAGAGAGAAAGAGACAGACAGAGCGAGAGAGTGAGAGAGAGAGGGACAGAGAAAGAGAGAGAGAAAGAAGTGAGAGAAAGAGACAGACGGAGCGAGAGAGTGGGAGAGAGAGAGAGAGGGACAGAGAAAAAGAGAGAGAAAAAGAGAGAAAGAGAGAGAGAGAGAGAGAGAGAGAGAGAGAGAGAGAGAGAGAGAGAGAGAGAGTTT